GTGCTCAGGCGCTGGAATTGCCCCCCACCAACCCCCCCTAACGAGCACCAACGCGTCCGCAACGGACTGGGGGTGCTTTCGTGGCTACGAAAAAAAAAACCCCCCCCCCCCCGTGGACTCCTCCCCCTCCACTCCGCTCCGATCTCCTCCACTCCGTCCCACCTCCCTTCGAATCTCTCTTCGACTTATCCCTGCACGGATTACTCTTCTGGAATAAACTACAACAATCCTCTCAACTAAGGAAGATCTACCCCCTCTTCCTTCATCCTATCACTGGATCCTCCTGAAACGGACCGGACCATTTGAACAACAAAAAACAAGGACCATACAAATCCACAAGAACAAAACAACCCCTCTCCATTCATACGTGTCTATTACAAAATGCCGCAGAGCTCATACTCCTCCAAGCGGGCTCCCAAGAGCTCCGCCAAGAACTCTCACCCCCGCCCCTCAACCCCCAAGTCCAATATCATGCGGAATCTCGATTCGTCGCCGAAGGCCAATCAGCGAAAGGTAGCCAATGCTCAGCCATCCGATAGGAAACGGAGAGCTTCATCATCATCGGTCTCGAGTGTCTCTTCGGTCTCGTCCCTCGAGGACCTGAGCGATGAGGCAGATGATTCAGAAGAAGATGCAGACGATGAACAAGAACCAGCAGTCCGGGCCCCGTCTTATGGTCGTCGTCGCGACAATAAGGCGGGGCGCCAACCCGCAGTCAACAAGAGAAGACGCGTCCTGGACGATGATAGCAGCGACAGCAGTGATGGCAATGATGACATTGACGCCAATGACTCGGATGATAGCTCAGATGATGTCTATGCCGGTGTAGACTACATCACAGATGCCGAAGATGAAGACCAAGACGTCGAGAAGTTGGAAGAAATGATTATTGTGGAGTCTGAGAAAACCAACCGGCCTTTGCCCAGCTCTGGATTTGACGATGATGGGTGGGCTATCAACTCGTTCGACGACCACATGTTCCTACCTGCTGCTTCATTCTTCGATGAAGAGCACCTCTACAGTGCCATGGACACCTTTGGAGAGCCTGAGGTGACCAGTGAAGCCGTTGAGACGCCAGTCACCCGGCGAGTTCACTTCGAGGAGCGATCCGATTCGTCCTCCGATAGTGATTCCCACAGTGACGACGATATACCCGGCGACTTCTTGCAGCAGGACAGCCTGGACCCACAATTGCGTCGTATGATCGAAAACGACAATGAAAACTACCAGAGAAATACCCGCCGGCAATCGGAAGAGATGTTTGGCGACGCCGATTATGGCCATGGAAGCATCTACCATGTCGAGTCCGACGGATCCTCCGAGGCCAGCTTGAGTGGTTACGAGAGTATGATAATCGGTCATTCGTATTGTGTTTTGCTTTTGCTAACCCCTTTGAAAAGGCGATGATGGTGACACTACAGACGAAGATCTCCCTCCGCCAGCAACCATCACCCACCCTCGATCCCTTCTCCGCCGGGACTCCTCTGACTCTTTGGCTCCTGTGGACGAGAAGAGTGAATGTATTCCCCGCCGCCGCGGGCCCATCATGGGAACCTTCGTCGCAGACCCCCACAAGCCAGTAGCTTTGGTCGATTGCACTGGCAAGCATCTCGTGATTATCCCCGCGTATGCCTCGTCTCGTCACGACTGGCTGGAATCCGCCGCCACCAGCATGCCCGGAACTGCGAACACTAGCCCTCGCCAGACTACACTTCACTTGGTTGATGAGAGCGACACCGATGCACTCGCCTCGCCCAATCAGATGGATTTCAGCCCAATGCTGGCTTCGAGTGCCAACCTCATGATGACCGCTCTCGGCAACGATCTCACCCCGGGAGGCCAGGTCATGGGTCCCCCTGAGGCATTCTACCCTTCTCAGGACTTCACCATCGACAGTTCGTTCGAAGAAGATGAAGAAGATGACCCCGAGTCTGCTCTCAACGTCGACGACTTCATCGACTTTGGTAATGGATCCTCCGATGAAGATGAGGACATGGATAAGCAATTTGATGACGATATCATGTCCCCAATGGCCCCTCCTTTCGGCAAGTCCATGGGTACACCTACTCCCACCCGCCAGTCTGCGTCGCAACCCGCCAATAGCGAAGAGCGCTTCCTCAATCATCTCGACAAGGGTATTGTTACTGCCTTCCGTCGCAACCATAACCGCTACCAGGCGCTCCTCCGCCTTCCCCAGCACCGCGAGTTCATGCCCGCAAACTCTCCCGCTCGTCCTGCCAGTGTCTTCCGGCACGCCAAGAACAACGACCAGCGAACTCCCACCCGCAAGCGCAAATCGAGCAGCATTGCAGGTGGTGAGGCTGTGCGACGCAAGCTGATGGATGCTCAGCAACGTCGCTCTCAGCTCCCCATCCCCGCGCCTCTCTGAGGTATCACGATTGCACGACTCTTGGATTTCCAAGGATCATATGATAACCACGGCCACAATTTATCCTACCTGTTTCTAGTCGCTTGGCAGACTCGACTATTAGTGTCTTGTGCCTTCACCCTCTTGACCTCGCGTTGAGCACACATGTTCTTCGCTCTGGTTGTATTGCATATTGCCACTGACGTGTCGTTGAGACCAGTCTACCTTTCTAATGATTGAGTTCGATTTGCCATGCATATTGAGTTGGCTTGCGAAAGATCGATGTTGGTTCTCAGAACCCAAAAGCGATCCATTTTGATATTTGATTATCTGACCAATCTTTCATTTCCTTTTTTCATTTCATATGTCATATCTATTGACTGGCCATTTTTCTCCCCCGCCTGTTGCGGGGGCTGGTGATACCTTTGGAGTTAAAAACTTGTGGGTTTGCGCTCTAACGAGTTATGGCTGTTTGAGTTGCTGTTTACATTTATCTTTACCAATATCAAAAACATTCGAAATATTTTATCATATTCTCTCGCTGGCCCTCATTAATCAATAGGTCTCCGTCCTCTCATGAAGCTCCGACCTTCATGATGTAGAACCCACAACCCCGGACCCACCTAAACCTTATTCAAGCGATATCTACCAAGGTCCGCAAGTTTTATGAAACCCTACCTTGGGTTATAGATATAAACACTTGACGTGCGTAATATTACCAAAAATCCTTGATTTCGACCCCGACCACTATCTCGACATTACTGACACTGCCACGCCAACCCTCAGCGCTTGCAGCTCAAGCACCAGCCGTGATTCATGAGACTCATGTTCTCCGTAGCCTCAGCTACCATGCGCATACTTTCTTCCCGTTTTTGTTGACTTATCATTCCTTGCCCTGATTGATGTGCGGCCTCGGAGAATGAAGAATTATAGCTTTTGTCGAAGTGTGCAATCGAAAGCGGAGTTTTTCACAATAAGTTTGTACAGCCAAACAATAGGTATGTCCAGGCAGGTGGACAGACAAATCCCCAGACGGGAATTTCTACAACCAGACCTCAGGAGCCCAGAAAGTTCTTCAGTGGATATAGGGGACCTCGGGAGTCCCGAGGGCTTGACTCATCATTGCTCACATCGGATCATTTCGTTGTGATTGGCTGATATCCTTCTGTGGGAACTTTCGGATCTATAAAAGACAGCACACTGTCAATCAATAATTGTGGCATGCTCGCACTAAACACAACCTCAACTTCTAATTCTACCTTCTTTTCTCCAATGGAACATCTTATTCCGTCCGGGATGCACGCTATCCCCGCTGGGCTTCTCGATCTACGCTCCGACGCCGATATAGACTTTGACCTGTTGCATCCCCAGCCGCTAACCAGCGTCAAAAATATATGGTTCTTCTGGCACTCGGGCTACATCAACATGCACCCTTACACACAGCGCAATGTACGCGCATGGCACCGCCGATTCACAAAGCAAGGATGGACAATACGGATCGTTGACCGACAACCCGGTTCAAAAAGCAACATCGTCGAGTTCCTGGATGTTACCGATCCAACACTTTTCCCACGCGCCTTTGCCGACGAGACTCTCACTGGCCCTTACGCACTACAACATACTTCAGACCTTGTTTGCTGGCCGTTGCTGTTGCGATATGGAGGTGTCTACGCGGACGTGGGTATGATGCAAATTGGAGATCTGGATACGCTCTGGCACAAGACAATCGCGAACCCCGATTCCCCGTATGAAGTTCTATCTTATACCCCCAGTGGCGAGGATCATTACAGTCTATGTAATTATTTCCTCGCCGCATTGCCCAACAATGCGCTTTTTGCGCGCTGCCATCGTCTACTCCTCGCTCTCTGGGCCGCGGATGGGGGCAAGACGAGCACGGATGGAATGTACGCTAGCCCGCTACTTCAAGGAGTTCCTCTCATGGGCGGCGAGTTTACGATCACTGAAGAGGATGGGACTTTCATTGGCCCCACCGAGGTCAGTCGCCTGTTGACCGACTATATTATCCAAGGTCAAGTGGCGAGTGCGGTAATGGGATTGGTTGATGCCGAAGATGACTGGAATGGCCCTGCCTACTGCGTGGCACATTTCTATGCGATCGAGTTCATGGAAGGGTCGCAGCTCATCAACGAGTTAACTGCTTGGAACGGCCAGGAGGCATTCGATCTGTTGTCGCTATCCATGCCAAAAGAGGGGAAACAAGAGTCTGGCGAGCAACAGAAGGCTCGTGAGATTGTTGAGGCTTGTTTGTCGCGCAGCTATGGGTTCAAGCTGGCTCATGGCCTCATTCTGCGCGTCAACAAGGTCACGCTCGGCTCGCTGTGGCAGGACAATCCCGGGTCGGATACTGTGCCCGGCACATATGCCGGTTGGCTTCGACATGGGATTGCCTACTGGAATCAAAACGATGTGCCGGGTTGCGTGAAACTGCCGTTGTTACCTCCAACCAAGGTCGGGAAGTTACTTGCATGATTAGTCGACGATGAAAACTTTATATTCTGTGCGCTGAGATGTTGGAATAGATGAAACTCGAGATAGATGAGGACAATTCCTTGAAAATGAAAATCAAACGCTCCACAAGCCTGCATCGCGTCGAGAGTTCCGTCATTCTCTTGTTCGATGACGCTAATCGCGTTCACACAACAGGCGCTTTTGGCAACTGACGATTTTTTCGATATATCAAATTCCTCCCTGCTTGTTGCTAATTCGATTTTCTTGTTCAATTTCTCGTGAAATTTTCGAAATTTTCCCCAGTTGGTCTGTCATTGTCGAAGTCGAAGGACTTGGAAGTGAAGTTACAATGTTGTTGTTTGTCGGAATATACTCCGAAATATGTCTACGAATTGTACTCCTCAATGGCGTGATATATAAACAGACATCTCACTGGTAGAATATTTGGCCACGACAAGCAATTATTAGCTTTAGCTTAGCATTTGGTTCAAGCAATCTAAACGAGTTAACCGAAATGCTCAGTTCAAGCTCCAATCAATAAATGTGGAGGATTCCAAGGCTATAAAACAGACCCCCTGGTCAGTCCTCGGTCTTTTGCACGATCAATCACTCTAGGGCTGTCTTTCAAAATGGCAGACTTCTCATTACCGCAGACAAAAGCCGATACATCGAAAAAGCCGTCTGTCACCGAAGTTCAAGAGAGCGATGAACCCCATCGCGACATTTCTGGCGACATCATCGAGGATGGCCTACGCCGGGGGCTTAAGGGCCGTCAATTTGTGATAATTGCCCTAGGGAGTATCATTGGACCGGGTTGCTTTTATGGCTTGGGCTATGGGATCTACGAAGCTGGTCCATTGGGTCTCCTGATTGGATTTTCTGTTGTGGGTGAGTTGGTAGCATTGCAAAGCATATTTCTCACAAAGTTGACATGGCCCAGGTGCTTCGATGTGGATTTTGATGCAGAGTGTTGGAGAGGTTGCCACGCTCTTTCCTGTTCACGGCGGGTTTGTAGAAGTAAGTAACTCCAATCTCAACCTGCTGGAAATTTTGCTAACCTGTTTCATATAGCACTGTGATCGATTCGTAGATCCAGCCCTCAGCTTTGCAGTATCTTGGCTTTACTATTTTATGTGGAGTGTATTTCTTGCATCAGGTGAGTGTCGTCAACAAGTAAGAAATGGCCTGCACTAATCAACTTCAAAGATTGGAATAATGCCACAGTCTTCCTTCAATTCTGGATTCCCGATACCACGATCCCCGTCTGGGCTTGGTACATCTTATTCTTTGTCTTTTTCTCCATTCTAACCACCCTTGGGGTGAACTTCTACGGGGAGACTGAATACTACTTTGGCATGTTTAAGTTCCTGTCACTCATTGTGCTATTTTTTATCTCAATTCTTGCCGATACTGGTGCGTTTGGTAATGGGTATGTCGGATTCAGGTACTGGAAAGAGCCATACGGTGAGTATTCTCGCACACGAATTGATTCGCAGATCTGACATTCTGCCAGGCCCAATCCGAAATGGAATCAATGGATTTGGTCAAGTATTTGTTCTGGCCGCCGCATACTATGTTGGAACTGAGATTGTTTCTGTCGCCGCGGGAGAGTCCAAGAACCCCCAACGAGACGTTCCTCGTGTGCGTGCATCCCCTAAATCGGTGACATTCAAAGTGAATCTGATGCTGACTTTGTTTAGGCCACCAATTCTATCCTCTATCGTATCTTGGTCGTGTTTGTTGGCATGTCGTTTTTCCAAGGCCTGATTTGTCCGTCAACATCGGATGATCTGGTGCATCCATCGTCGACAACGGCATCATCCCCGTTCACTATTGGTTTTGTACTTGCTGGGTGGAAGTCTTCCGGGCATTTCGTCAATGCGATTATTATAATTGCCTTCATTTCCGCTGCGAATGGAGTGATCTACATCCAATCACGCACACTTTACTCTCTCGCGTTGAAACGCAAAGCTCCCTCGTGCTTTGCAATCACAAACACTGGGGGGGGTAAGACAATGTCCTCTTCTATCCTCTCTCTGGTAACAACTAATATTGTGTGCAGTGCCATACCCGGCAATTATTTTCTCAAATATGTGGGGCTTCCTAGGCCTGATGTCCTTGCAAACAACGGCAGGGAGTCTGTTTTCCTACTTCACCTCTTTCGGTGGAACTGCGGCCTACATCGCATGGGCTTCGATCACATTTGTTCATCTGAGAGTTCGTGGCGCTGCGAAGAGGAAAGGGATCGACGCCAAAGAATTTCCCTATACAGCGCCGGGCCACATTTCGATCTACTGGGGTAACTTCTTCTTCAATATTTTCCTATTGCTGATCCAAGGTTTCACGGTATTTGAGACACCATTCAACTATTCGTTGTTTATCGCGTCATATATTAGTATTCCGGTATTTTTCCTCATGTTTTTTGGATATAAATGGTGGTTCAAGACTAAATGGTCAGTCGTTGCTTCATATCAAAGCAAGACTCGATACTTACATTCAACTTTTTTAGGGTATCATTGGATGACATTAATTTCCCGGATAGGCTCAACTGGGTGATTGAAGATCCGGACAAGGCAAAGAAAAGATCCTTGGGCAGAAGGCTCGTGAGAATTTTGAAGGAATAATGGGTCGATAAAGATAAAACAACCTTACAGTTGTTGATATTATGGTTTCCCAATCTTCAATCTCGCTACTATCTTAGTATTGGTTCTAAATTTAGGGAAGCCACAAACGACCCTAAAGAAGCTCTACTTCTAAACTCAAAATATATCTGTACGACATACTCCAACACGGCTTCGGTCCTGGAAGTAAACGCCACTTTTTCTAGTGAAACCCGCTACTCAGTAGTCCGCAGACATTTACAATGTTGTTCCACCAACGGGATAATAAGCTGATAGTAAGAAGCTCGGGATCTATGGAACGACAAGTAGAGTTGAATATAACTGCAAACAGTACCGAGTCGTCGGTTTTTCGGTTTTCTTGCCCCTGATTAAACGCGGAGTACTCCGTACTGAGTACAGAGTAGCTAGACATAAATAGGATGTCCAGATAAGCCTTGACATTGAACGCACACTGCCTGGGCACGAAATCACTAAAAATGCAACCCGGGCGCACATGGTTGCCGAATTTGCAAAGTAACCCCGAGGTTAATATATTAATGTTAAGACCTAGACTTGACGTCTAGACTCCGACGATTCCGAGGGAGGCACGGCGTAGCATTCTCCATGCGGCGCTAAAAGTCTCATTCGTGGGTATTTTTAGTTGCCCGTTTCATGTTACCCGGACTTAAGCCAGACAAAGGCATCGTCCGACGCGCCGAGAGACGGGGACGATTTGCATTTCCGTTTCCATTTCAAGAAATTTAAAGAGAAAATAGAAGGCCAATGCGGTAGGACATGGTTGAAAGCAATAGGGAATTCGACACTTATACCCCTCAAAGCCGAGGTACATAGTTAGTTCAGGAAGAAGTACTCCGTAGTGGCTAAGTTAAACCTATCTTGAATAGTACGTATTCGAATTCAGATCGGATGATAGGAATGGTATCGGTTACATCCAGCCCAGAAGTGAGACGCTTAGAAACAGGAACAGGAACAGGAACAGGAACCCCTCGGTTTAGACAACGCCACTAGTATATTCTGACAGGTTTGGCGCTGGGCCTTTTTAGTCGGATCCACATAAACCGAGAAGCGAAAGGCGAGACGGAGCGTTCGGGTACCTGGCCGTTCGACCTTCCAGGGGTTTACCCCTGGGACCCGAGATAGAAAAGAAAAGAAAAGTCGATCCGGTAAGACACGAGCAGTCCCTGACCCCAGTAATACTCCATATGCATAGACATTCTCTGATTTGTGGACCCTGGCGCTTCGAGATGCAAAGAGCTTGTATACAGAAGATCATGAAGATCAATAATAAGCAAATATGTGGGCAGTGACGCAGAAAGTGGGTGCATGGGCGAGACGCCAAGTTCTTTCTTTTTCTTATCTCCCATTATTTGATTTTGAACTAAATCTTTAACCTCAACTAGTCGAAAATAGCGAGTTTCAGTCCAAGAGCCTTGGGGGAGATGAAAGACTCCAAGTGCACGTGGACTGTTTACCCTGAAGACCCCTCCTGTCAACGCTCGGCCTATGCAAGTTCTCCCTGCCGATCAAGCGCCTATTCAGAACCTATTTTTACTCCGTCATGCTTATTGGTCAATTAATGTCGACTGATCTCACAGGCACATCTGGATGAACTGATGCTGAGTGGGATCGGACCCCCCGGCAAGCGCCTTGGTCGACCCCTGACTGGCTCTTCTCCAGCTTCTGCACGTCTATACCAATCGGCGCCAAGCTCTGGATGGATCCCAAGCCCACCCTCCTTTCAGCCACTACAGTTTCATCTGTGCCTCCAGATTTCTGCCGATTGGAGAGATGGGGGTTTTTTCAGACAAAATGTCTTACCAGGGTCCTTGGCGCCAGACTTCGGGTCAACAGAGGAAGGCTCGCTAGCTGCAGCCAGACCCTTTGCCTGCAGAAGTTTATGGAATGGCCTGGTTGGACAATTGTTTAAAGACCGCGACCCTGCCCAGATCCTTGACTTCTTTCATTCTCGTCATTGTTTCATTTTCTTTTGGATCTTTATCCATATTGGTTCGTCTCCAACCAAAGACGCTCGTTCAGGGATACGCATTTCCTTGTCTTTCTTTCGTTTGATATTGACCCAATCTCATTGAGGTTTTTTTTCTTATTGTCACCCATCAACAGTACTAATAGGAATTGCCTGGTTTGCTGCCTATACAATTGTGGCTTATATCACGATATCTATTGAGACCTAGCTTTCTATATCGCAGCCTATCCAGTCTACATCAGTCCGTCTTTGTTTCTTTCATACGTCTTCTCTCTTCTTTTTTCCTTCCATTCGATCTTTCGCGTCCCACTTTCACTCGTTACGGATATCCTCCCACTATGAAGGTCACATCCGCTATTGTGTTTTTATCCCTTCTGGCCTCTGGCCAGGCCACCGGAGCGGTATGCCTCAACTGATATTTGTCGTCTCTGATATCCATCCTAACTCGAAATTCTTTAGTCCTGGGGCTCCGAGAAATGCTACTCTAGCCCGGGTAGATCGCCTAACAAGTGTAACGACTCCCAGCAAAAGGGCTTCAGCTGGACTGATCTCGCTCCTGGCTCTTTCTCCAGCTATGGTGGCTTTTCCTTTTCGGGTTTCACTTGCGGCAATGGCTTCGGTTCTAGCCTTGGCAAGCGTGGCGTGAGTAATGCATGCCTCTCTTTATCTGCACATACTGACCATGCTATAGACCCAGAAATGTATCTCCGGTACCGTCTCCAAAGGTAGCTCCTCTAGCTCCTCCAGCTCCAGTGGCTCCAGTGGCTCCAGCTCCCACAGCTCCAGTGGCTCCGGCTCCTCTAGCTCTTCTAGCTCCTCCTCGTCGGCTCCGTCGTTCTCCTGTGGCTCGGATGAGAGCGGCTTCTCTGTGACCAACTTCCACGTTGCTACCGATAAGGATACCGACTTGCACATCATCTACAGCATGCCCGATGGATCGACTTGCAAGAACACCGCTTCCTGCAACTCCGCTGGTACCGTGGTCAGCAACGACCAGTGTGGTGGTGCTACGTCTGTTCACTTCGAGCTGCCCGACGATAGTGAGCATGAGAGCTGCGGTTTGGGCATCTACAGCGTTGGCTTCGACTGCACTCCTGGTTCCACAACCACTGCGCCTGTCGTTTCCAGTACTTCTGCTATTACCAGAGTTCCATCTGAACAGACTTCTGTCTCCAGTTCTATCGTCGTGCCTTCGCTCTCTGTCCCAGGCTCTGTCCCAGGCTCTGCTGTCACCAGCTCTACCGCTGTGCCTTCGCTCTCTGTCCCAGGCTCTACCCCAGGCTCTGCTGTGTCTCCAGTCACCACTCCGGCAGTGAGCACACCTGTTCAGATGACTACCTCGACTGTGTTCACCACTAGTTTGATCACTATCACTAGCTGTGCTCCGACTGTCACCAATTGCCCAGCTGGATCTACCGTTGTGGTAACTTCAACTATCGCTCTTTCCACCACGGTCTGCCCCGTTACTGAGACTACTGCTACCGCTACAAGCTCGCTCTCTGTGCCTGCTGTATCTAGCCCGAGCGGTGTTTCCCCCGTCAGCTCATCGGCTGGTATTCCTGGCGTTGCTAGTGGTACATCCGTTCCTGGATCTTCGATCTTGCCTTCTTCTGCTATTTCCTCTACTGCAGGCGAGACCCCTGATGTAACTTCTGCCACTTCGACCCCGGTGATCACCACCCCAGTCCAGATGACTACGTCGACCGTGTATACCACCAGTTTGGTTACTATCACTAGCTGTGCCCCGACTGTTACCAATTGTCCAGCAGACTCGACTACAGTGGTGACTTCGACAATCCCTATTTCAACCACTGTCTGTCCCGTCACTGAGACTACCACAGGTGCCGTCGGCTCCACACCTCTGTCCGCAGTCCCAAGCCCGAGCGGTGTTTCCCCTGTCAGCTCATCGGCTGGTATTCCTGGTGTTCCCAGTGGCACATCCGTCCCTACATCTTCGATTCCGGCCTCTTCTGTTTCATCCGCTCCGGGCGAGACCCCTGTTGGAACTTCAGCCGCTTCAACCCCGGTGATCACCACTCCGGTCCAGATGACTACCTCAACCGTGTATACCACCAGTTTGGTTACTATCACTAGCTGTGCTCCGACTGTTACCAACTGCCCAGCACACTCGACTACAGTGGTGACTTCGACAATCCCTGTTTCAACCACTGTCCGTCCCGTCACCGAGACTACCACAGCTGAAGTCGGTTCCACACCTCTGTCTGCAGTCCCAACAGGGGTCTCGCCCGTGAGCTCCTCGGCTGGATCACCTCCCGCCAGTGGAACTTCGGCCGGAACCCCCTCGGCTCCCAGCGTGACCTCCGCTGTCTCGTCCCCTGCTGGTACTCCCCTCGCCCCTGGAGAGGCCACTACTACTGTCGTTACTTGGGAGACTGTGACTACTTGCCCGGTGACTAACACGGTTACCTCTGGTAGCTCCACTTTCGTGACTACCTCAAGCACCATTTCAACCGTTACTATGACTAGTGTCTCTACGATCTGCACCGACTGCTCCGCTACCGCCACCTCCGTTGCTGGTCAGAGCACTGTTGCCCCGTCTGGTACCCCCGGTGTCTCGATCATTGTCGTTTCCAGCACTGGTTCATCTGATACACCTGGAGCTTCGAGCCTGGTCCCATCTGGAACTTCCGAGGGATCAAGCCCTGTCTCTTCTTCGTCTGCAGAGGCCTCCAGTCCCCTCCCCACCGGCTCCGATGTCACTAGCTTGGTTCCCACCGGCGTGAGCGCTGAGACAACACCTGCTATTCCCCAAGGATCGACTGCCACGGTTGTAACTTATGTAACTGAGACCACCTGTCCTGTGACTGCCACTGTCACTTCTGGGTCGTCGACTTTTGTCACCACATCCAGCACGGTTTCAACTGTTACCTTGACCTCGACTTCCAACCTCCCCAGCTCTGTCGCTGCGGGAAGCACCCCGGCTCCCTCTGAGACAGGTGTCGCTGCCACCACTGCTCCCGCTGTCACCAGTGCCAACTCCACACCCACCATTCCCGAGGGTGCCACTACCACCGTTGTGACTTATGTGACCGAGACCACCTGCCCCGTGACCAACACCGTCACCTCGGGCTCCTCCACCTTCGTGACCACATCCAGCACAGTTTCCACAGTGACCCTCACCTCCGTCGCAACCATCGCGACTACCGCCACCGCTGCCACCGAGAGTCAATCTACATCCGTAGTCCCCAGCGGCGTGTCCCCAGTATCGAGCCCCGCTCCCTCCGCTCCCTGCCCCAACACCGTACCCCAGTGCATCAACACCTGGCTCTCGCTCGCGCCCAAGTGCACATCCAACAGCGACGCCTCCTGCTTCTGCCCCAACAGCGAGTTCACCAGCAAAGTCATCTCCTGCATCCAAGCCTGGGGTGCCTCGAAGTCCGAGATCCAATCCGCCCTCTCCTACTTCACCGGTATCTGCGCCACCTGGGTCCCCCAGAACCCAGGCATCGTAACCGCCATCCCATCAACAATCACCCTGATCCCGACAGTTGCTCCGTCCGTCCCCGCATCCGCAGCCGGTGTCACCGGCGCCACTGTGACTGCCCCCGCCAGCGTCGTCATCCCCATCACCTCCGCCCCCGCCCTCCCCGTCACCACAATCACCTACTCGACCTACACCGTCACCGTCCCGCAGGTCAGCTTCGTCACAAACACCGGCTCTACGGCCGGTGCTGTGCCGACCATCGGTCTGGTCCCGGCTGCTCCCAGCGGCACTTCCCCGGCAAACACCGGTGTTGTTCCCGCGCCCGCATCCGCAACATGGGCTACTTCGAGCGGGTACGCGTACGCCAGTCGCAGCGCCAGTGGAGTCGTCTCGCCCAGCGCGTCTCCGATCTTCAACGCGGCTTCGAGCGTGTCGGTCGCTTCCAGCCTGCTGTTGGCTTCTCTCGCTGCTTTCTTCGGCTTGATGATGTAGATGCGTTTTGACAGCAGACTACCACACCGCGAGGACCTCGTGGTTTTACTTTCCTTGTCTCTTGTGACTACAAATATGCACAGTACACAGTGTTTTGTGTTTTTCCTTCGTCCTTATTTGTCTTCCCGGCTCTGTAGTGGTTCGGCCTGCTTCGGGTGGACAGGACTTTAGCTGGGAATTGACTTAGATCATCTGTCCTAATGGACTGCTTTGTATTCTATTTATTCACTCCCTAATTGAACGCGATAAACATCGCCTTTTTCTGAAAGATGTCCTGTTTATTTATTTTCTTCTCTAGCAAAGTAGTTTTTTGAAAATCTCTGTTCCACTATGGAAGGTATGACTACCTAGTTTGTCTTTGTTCCACAGCTCAATCCAGGTATGAACTCAACAGGTTGAATATTTCATTCTTTCATTCTGGGTCATATCCTTTCCTTTGTCTTGTTAAATAAATCCTCAGGCGATGTTAATAAATATATTTAGCGTACCCAGATATGAAGAGATTTCTACAAACAGGAGCAAATGACGGCCGCGTGCCGTTTCGAAGAATAGAGTGTCCTCAAAGAATAAAAAAATGACCTCCCGAAGATACTCGAGTGTCATGTTGGGTGCAAGGATTAGCGGAGCAACCCCTCAGGACTTTCAAGCCACTCCAGGTAATTCCGAATCCCTTCCTCGATGCCGCGGAAACGCAGCACGGAGCCGGCCCGACGGAGCTTCGAGATGTCGGCGCAGGCGTAGCTCGGGTATCTGCCTTTCAATTCGGCTGGGAAGGAAATGAACTTGATATAGCCCTCTGGATTGCCGAAGTTGCTGGCGACCTCGGTGGCGACATCGTGGAAGCTGCTGGCCACACCAGTGCCGACATTGTAAATACCACTGATCTCAGGGTGGTCAAGGAACCAACAGTTCAGGCGCGCGACGTCCTGTACGTGGACGAAATCACGCTTCTGTTGGCCAGCCTCGACCCCGGCGTATTCTCCGAACAGCTCAATTGCCTTGAAAGATTTGCGTTTTTCGTAAAACTGAAAGACAGTGCTAGGGATTGAACTTTGGTACTGTTCTCCGGGTCCATAAACACTGAAGAGACGGAGTCCCACGACTTGTGGGGAGCGGATGTCAGTGTTCTTGACGACATACTGATCGAATAACATCTTTGAGTATCCGTATACATTTAGAGGGGCTTCCTGGAAGTCTCCCTCGGCGAAGGTGGTGTTATTTCCATAAACGACAGCGGACGAGGCGTAGATGAAGCGGACCCCCTGGTCCTTGCACCAATGGAAGAGTTCCTTGGAGTAGGTGAAGTTTGCCTCCAGCATTTTCTTACCGTTGCTACCGTTATTTGACGAGTTTTCACCATAGTGGAAAATAACGCGGGGACGATGATGGAAGGCTTTGGTCCGAATCGCTTCACGGAAGGCAGTTGCATCGATGTAGTCGGCCACTTTGCAGTTGACCAGGTTGCGGAACTTGGATCCATCAGTCATGTCATCGACAACCACGATATTGGTCACGCCACGACTATTCAGCTCCTTGACGATGTTTGAACCGACAAAGCCGGCACCACCGGTGACAACAATCATAATGGGGATGACTTTGATTCCCGTGGATGTCCCTAGAAGGTGAGAAGTATGAGATGAGATGAGGAGAGAAGGAGAGAAGGAGGGGAAAGTTCAGCTGAGAGTGATGGGCGAGATGTCCATGGCGAAATGGGAAGGAGCGATCAGGTGTTTGCCAAAGAAAGAAGGTACGACATTCTGCTCTGATGTTCTCTCGTTGCAGACAGCTAGTCCTGCAGTCATAGAGACTAAGGCTATGAGAGTAACAAAAAGAGTAGATTCAAGCATTTACCTATTGTCCTACCTTCTCATTTCAAGATATCAAGTCATAGAGTCCCCTTAATATGTACCATTATGTGGCATTGAGTTGTCCAGATAGCCCAAGGCTTCTGTTTGACATCGGTAAACGTAAGACCCAAAAGATTAAAGCATTCTGGGTACACTTAGTGTCCTTGTAGGATATTCACAAGTCTGGATGCTCGTAGGTTGCACTTTCCTAATTGGGTTCTCCTTTCAAGACACGATTCTGCCGACAACCCCCTTCACCGCCTTCATGCAAGTCACGAGCACACAAGTAACAACACACTGGAGGGAGGTGTCTATCAACAACTACTCCGTACTTGTGTCACATATTCTATTTCTAACGCCGAAATTAGACCTTAAGTACAATCACGGTGTCCTCCGAAATAGCTCTAGGATACTTCTCAATATCATCAATCACATCCGGGACCGCCCGCCAATCTGACAGAGTCCTAGCTCACGACACGCAAGCATTCTCGGCTCTTCAGACCTCAACTGTATTTGCAAAAATAACGGGGCTATCCATCCTATTCAGGAACGTGTTTCAGTCTCCACGGCATGCCCACTATCTTCGGTGATCGGCTGAAGTCCTGAATCGACCCGTCGTTCATCAGACTCCCCCTCGTGCAGTTATCCGCGCTAGCCTACGCTGATTACATCCTCATCCAGAATACCCCGGTCCATGTTGATCCAATCCTTCCCGGCAGTCCGGGTCAGGGCGACGTGCAAAATGAGATTGTGGGGCGCCAAACGGTCGGGGCTGCCGGGCTCGTGCTGACTTCGGTTCCTGACGGCAAGATGGCTATCTACGCTTGTCAATGGCATTATTATCGAACGCCACCAATTTCCATGGCTGATTCCGTGCAGGAGGTCCTGACCTGAAAGAAACATATGATGTAATCCTCGCGGTAGGTGTATCAATGGATCACATTCGAGCTCTCCGCAATGATCGCTCGGATACATAGGGGGGATACATCCGGGGTGCATATTATGGATCAGGTTCCCCTGAACAGTGACAATTATTGAATCTCTCCTTGCGAAGCCGCAGTTGCCCCCCGTAATAGATCTATAGCAGCGCATATGACAGTTGCCATGCGATGATCGCTTATCTTATGGTAACCTTGGAACCGCGCAAAGATAAGCCTGGGGCCCTAGATTGGCTGAGCGACGGCTTTACATGGAACAAGTTACATAGTGCGATGGATTGTCTTTAATAATTTGGTCTTTGCATTGAAAAGTCAACTCTAAAACAGACACCATTTGATGCCCCGGGGCTATTGATCGGACATTGCCCATCTCCTTGCAAGATAAGCCCTCCACCAGTAGCCGTCCTTTATTCCGGACACCTTTCTACGGTTGAGGTGGAAACATGTTCTTTGACAGCCGCTTTGTCCAGAGTGACATGGTCCGTTATATTAACAGGGTCTCCCCGTTATGTTGATCGGCAAACGCTTTCTGCAGGGCCAGTATGTCTCAGAATGAAACTTCACTATGGTGGCCCGAGGAGCGCATCAAATCCACCCTCGACAAAAAGTACATCATCAGTCGTCTGCGGCCGGAGAACATCCCGCGTCTCTTCGAGCTCCCGGACTGGGGCGAGGGCTTGACCAGCGAGACCTACATGGAATGGATCCTCACCAAAGCCGGCCGTGTTTTTATGATCCTCGACGCTATTGGTATTCCCGATCGCATCTTCGCGCTCGTCGACGAGTCGTGCGACGACGATGATCTACCCATCGCCGAGCATAGTGTCGATTTACTACACCTTTCCCCAGATGGAGACGACGTCGCTCTCGAGACCAGTTTCTTTCATGCGCAGTGGCGATTCTTAGTCCGTGGTATAGCGGAGGGAGAACATGTCGTCTATACCGAGAATGAGGGCGTGCCCGTCGAGGCGGTCCGCACCAACACCAGCAGCGGGATACACGGGCGTGATGATACAGTGGACAGAGTAGTTCTCGCCGGCCCTGTCTGTCGAGTCTACATGCGAACCCAAGTGCAGGTCGGCGGCGCACCGCATTTCTTCTCCTCTGACGAGGTTCTCGCCGAGATCCGCAGCTTGAAGAGACTGTCACACGAGCATCTCGTCTCCGTCTACGCTTCATATCTGAAAGACGACAGCGTCTCTGTCCTTTTCACCGGCGCCACGGCAGATCGGAACCTATACCGATTCCTCACCGACGAGCCCCTGGCCTTCAAACGGCTAGAGAAAGAACAACGTCGCCAGATCCTAATCACCTGGCCGCATTGCCTTGCCTCGGCAGTCTGCTGGCTGCACGCCCGCGGCTACGCCCACGGCGCAATCCGCCCATCCAACATCTTCGTCGACGCAGACTACCACATCTGCCTCGGCCAGTTCCAAGCACTCGACTCCCTCCTGACCCCGCCACATGTCAACGACCTCGAGGCATACAACTACTCTGCCCCAGAGCGCTGGACCCGTCCCACAGCCCCGGTGATCCTAAAGCCAGTGCAGCCCGCCAAAACCCTCCTCCCCTCAGGAGGACGTACCAAGCGCAGACAAAGACCAACCCGCCTAACGCTCCCCCCACTGAACGAAAGTCGCGCCGCGTCTCCAAACCACACCAGACCAAACTCCTCCTCCTCAAAAGGAACAGCCATCCGCATCGGCCGCTCAGGCTCCCCCTCCCGCTTCTCCTTCGCCTTCTCCTCCTCCTCATCCTCCTCCGAAGTCTCCTCAGCAGCGTCCTCAACCCACACAGACGCAACCGCCACCTCACCGCAAGCAACCCCCCGCCACCGCATCTCATCCTTCTGGGCGCGCCGAACAAAGAACACCCCCTCAATAATGTCCACCTCAACCTCCTCCTCCTCCAACACCTCATCCCTAACATCCCCAACCTCCCTCCGCCACTCCACATCCACGCCATCCCTCCCACATTCCCACAACCACAACCACACCCACCCCCCAAACCCCAACTCCCCAGCCGACATCTTCTCCCTAGCAGCAACAACCCTCGACATCCTAACAAACCTACACAAACGCACCCTCGCCTCCTTCAGCGGCCACCGCAGCGCCCGCAACCGCTCCGCCGGTCGCGGCGGCGGGATAGCAGATGCCTCATTCCACCTCGAGCGCAACGCCGTGCAGATCCAGTCGTGGATTTCGCGACTGGAGGGCGACGCGCTGAAACGCTGTCGGCGGGATCGACGCTCCGATCGCGCGTTCTGGGCTGTGCCGCGGATGTTGCTGGTTGTGCGCGCTATGCTTGATCTCGAGGGTGCGAGGAGGCCGCTGGCGGGGAGGGTTCGGAAGGGTTTTGCGGATGCGATTACGAAGAAGGGGGGTGGGAGTGGGGATGGGCTGTTGGTTTTGCATTGTGTTAAGGAGAAACGGGAGGAGGGGGGTCATAGGGAGACTCATAGGGACGAGAGTCATAAAGAGGGGAATAATAATCGGAAGTTGGAGGTTGTTCGGGAAGTGGGGGAGAGTGCTTCTGTTGTGTCTTCGGCTCCGGTGGAGTCGGGATCTGTTTCGGTTGCGGAATCGGTTTCGGAATTTGATTTCGGGTTTGGTCATGCTGGGAGTGAGAGTGAGAGTGAAAGTAATTTCGAGGGAGATTTTGTTGATTTTGATAGGAAGGAAGATGTTTCTGCCATGCCTGAGCTATATCTGCCAGAGTTGGAGATGAACATTACTGGGATAGAAGGTATGTCGTTTAAAGAATGATGGAGATGTATGATAATGTCTTGATGGTCAATGACCGGTTCTTATTCACTAATAATTTATTTCTTGTGTACACTTCATGCTTCGTGAAAGACAGACTTGAGTTAACATAACCTGTATGCAACACAGCACGACTCATATGCAGTCGGCCGTTGTCTATCCCAAATATGTGATGCTATCAATACAATGGCTTGGCCACAATCGTCAAAGGTCGGAGAACAAATCAAAGCCAGAAAGCAACGGCTCCCAGCAGACCAGACAGCACCAAGGATCCAGCGAGCAGGCGCTCAGTAGCTGGCGAGCCGACAGTCACAGAGTGAGCAGCGCCTTCCTTTGTTGCCGATGCCGAGGATGTTCCGCTTGAAGTGGTCGCACTGGCCTTGGTAGTCTTACCGGTCGCTGTGGATTCAGATGAAGATCCCTTCTTGTAGGTCTGTCCCAAGGTAGGAAGCGGCGAGCTTGGGTCAACGGCCCATCCACCCGAGGTCGAGGCAGGGCACTCGATGGCGGCGCTGGAGGCGCTCTTTTTGTAGGCGGAAAGGGCAACACCGCTCGGGTTCAGAGTCGCCCACTGCGACTTGAGGTTGTTGAAATCAGGCGACACGGGTGTTGGGGTTCCCTGGCGGGTGAAGCCGTCCTCGATGTTGCTTGCGGTTGCGGTCGCCGGGTCGACAGAAGCGCCATAGCTGATCAAGCCATAGTCGTTGGTCTCCTCGATCCACTCGTAGATGATGGATCCGGACCAAGTGTCAGACATCTTATCGCCGAAGATGGCAGCCTGATCCTCAAAGGTGCGGGGTGAGGGGGTGTTGCAGCCGGTCTCGGAGAAGAAGATAGGGATGGGGTAATCGGTGGCGTTCTTCTGCAGCATATTGTATCCAGACTGTTCATAGCTGGACGAGCCACACCACTCATAGGCGTTCAGCGAGTAAAAGTCCAAGCGCTCGGACGCATTCTTAGAACAGGCCATGTAGTTCTGCAGCATGGGTCGCAGATCGGCAATATCGGCCGCGGAGTAACCAACAGGAATCTCGCGATAGCCCTTCTTATCACGGTAGGCCTTAACGTCGCGAGCAGCTGCCAAGACGTAGGGCGCAGCCGCCGAACCATCGGCCGTCGTGAGGACCTCATTTCCGACCAAGACACCGGCGGTGTTGTCGAACTGTTGGAACTCATCGAGCACGGCCTTGAAGTGATCAAACTGGGTTTCGTTCCAGTGAGGTGCGGTCTGCGATCGTTAACAGATGGTCCATAAGAGAAAGAGAAGTGGAGTTACCTGTTCAATCTGGGTAGTAAAGGTGTCCAAGTCGACGAACAAGTGGATTCCTACAACGCATCAGTATGATTTACCGGGGATTGCTCATGTGGACTCGACCTACCAGCATCGGCCAATGCCGACATACAGCCTTTGTGATCAGCGCTGGCATCCACGTGGTACACACGGATAGCATTGGTGCCCAGCTCGGCCATCCGGACGATATCGCGCTTGCATTGGGCAGTATCGACAAGCGGGTCACTTGGGGTAAGCTGATAAGCAATGCCTGTTTGAGTCAGTCAGACAGGATACCTACAGTGCAGGGTTCTCAGGTACCCTTGATGTAGAACTGGGTTCCGTTCTCGTAGAAGAACTTGGAGCCGACCGCCGAAATGGGGGAGATGGCGCCGACGGTGGTGGCCTGGAGGCCCGCGAGGAGCAATGGCACGGAAAATGCCAGGGAGGACAACATGATTAATTCTGTTCGAGTAACAGTGCAAGACGCGATAAAATAGCAATGGCTAAAGAGTGAAGAGAAGGAAAGGCTTTCAGCTCAAATTGACACTACCAACAACGAAGGAACAAGGCAGGTGCAAACGGGAAAAGCGCTCCTCCAACCATTTTAAGGCAAGTCGAGGTGAAACATAAAGGAGGCAGTTCCTTGATTTGGGCCTGTAGCAACGAAATTATCACATTAATTTCAACTAGCGTGCTTCATTCCAGGCCCCGTTCGGGGCATTCCAATTAATTTGTTTTACAAGCTTGAGGGTGTACAATGTGATATAGACGTTGACACGAAGTGCGAAAGGTATACACCCGAGTACAAGTGCCATGTTGTGATTGTTCGAGGGTATGTTGTATAGCTGTTGGGGCCGAGCCCTAATTCCCACGCAATTGGAGATATCTGGAGTAGCTCACTATGGAGTCAATCTAGGCGGAGTCCTCCGTGCTCCGTACTGATAATAGATAGTTATTGGTAGAGATATGCAGTCTCCAGTACAAAAGGATTTAAAATTAAGAGTCCCCTAATGTTGCCCCTAACCCGGAATCTACCGAGTTCCATACATAGTTACGCTCCCCTATACTATATATAACCACGATATTGAGGTTTGAGACATGTTATGATAGCTATTTACAGACCATCATTATCATCACTATCACTGTGCTCCGTCCTCGGTACCACCATGTTGGACAGGTATCCCCCCATCGTAAACCCTGTCAATCACTGCTATTTTGGACTTGGCCCTTATATCCACTCTTGCTAGCATAGGAAAGATAGTCCTAGTCCGACCTTGAATACTTGCCTCATCGATCGACATTACTGCATTTATTTATTTTTTATATTCTTCTTGGGCAGAGATCGGGCTAGAAATCAGGGATGATAAGTCTCGTGGACCCCTAATGCATGTAACTTTGAATATCACTAGTCACAACGCCAACGCGATCCTGGAAGTCTTTTGAAATTCCAGACTGCCACGTTACCCCACTGGGCGGTTTTTAGCGGTGACTCGGGCTAGAACGCGGTCATGGCGAGATAAGGAGGTTCTTTTTGACGTGCAACGAAACCACGCATTCGTCAATATCGATGGAATCATGTAATAGCCATGTGAGGGACGTTACGTCTCCCGATCTATAGGAGTATACGGAGTCAACATCCCCAACCGCTGTTGGATGTGCGACCGGCCAGACTCTCCAATCTCCACTCCTCCACTTCATTCCGAGATGTCCGCCAATGATCGTCGTCGTACGCACAGTGTTCGTCAGCTAGTGGAGTCGTCCATTGGGATCGTCTGGGCTTTTCATTTGGCCTCCCCAAAAACGGGACAGTTGGCTAATGACGTTTCCGCAAAGGGGGGCAGACCATATAATATCCAGGCCCGCATCCGGTCGTGGCCCTGAATTATTTTCTCTGATGGAACTACTTGAACTCAGCCCTGGCCTGTACCTGTCCTTATCAATTCCCGATATGATTCTATAATATATCATATCCAATCATCTAGAACCATATTCCCCGATATACGGAGTCCCCATCCACAATGGCCTCCCCGTTCCACATCTCTCGACACGAGCAAGTCGAGCTAGAGCGCAACGAAGCCTTCCGAGTAATGCGCGAACAGCTCCGCCGCCAAGAATGCGGCATGGAGCGACCGAGTTTCTGCGCCGGCCATCGCCACGCCTGCACCGCCGCCGAACAGGAAACCTTCCGTCTCCACCGCGATATCATCCACACCCTCCTCGTCCCTCTTTTCCTAATCAACCACCAAGCCGAGCGCATCGCCGCCCGCACCCTCCCCAGCCAGAAAGGCGCCGAGCCCGAACGCGCATTCCGCGGCGAAGCCCGCAGCGCCTTCGCCTGGCTGAACTGCATCCTCACCGAGGAACACGACTGGTACCTCACAGCCCGCTGTCCGGCGTGCATCGTCCAGCACGTGCTGCACTCGGAGCCGACGATCCGCTTCGTCACGGTCGCCTCGCAGCTCGCGGGCACGCGTTCCGGCTTCCAGTGCTGGCTGAACGCCCTCGAGACCGCTGTCTGCGAAGACCCCTTCTGGGGCGATGCTTTCTGGCCGGATATCGAGGAGCGCGCGTCCCGTCTGACGGACGGCGTGCAGCAGCTCGTCCGGCAGTGCTACGAGCTCAGCACGACCCTCGATAACCCGGCTCGGGTGAACCCGTCGCTGGGCAAGACCCCCATGCCTATCTACGGCAGTCGCTCCACCATCCCCCTGAAGCCGTCTAGTCTCGCGCGGAAACAGGTCCGGCTGACGCGCGAGGAGCAGAGATACCGCGCTTCGCTGCGGAATTGCTCGCAGGAGATGAGACAGCCGCTGGCCGGCTGTACTACTGCGACTCAGTCTCGGCGCCGGTCGCTAACTTCATGAGGAGCTTCGTTGGGCTATGGTGACTGCTGCCATATGCATTTTTTTTTTCCCCTCTTACTCTCAGCCCGGTGGTTTTAGACCGGGGCTGTTTTCCAGGTTGGCCTTTTGCTGGTTGAACCATTCGGGGTTCTAGAAAGGATCTACGGACCTTCGCAATCTACGTCCAGAGAGCCTATCGGCTATCGGAAATTGGCATCCGAAAATTTCCCCGATCTCTCACACATGGCACTCCCCAGTGTTGCACGCGACCGAGACCAGATTCTCGAGATGCAAGGGTCTGCGCGGATCTGGAGTCCGCTGTGGTGATGCAATCGGGACCGGAACCGTGGATAATCGAAGTAACCATCGCCTCGGGGCGATGGAGATATTCCATGGAATGCGTCGGCGATCGGTCTCTATGGCCGGGATGATGTGATTTGTTGATCATGTCGAGTGCACATAGTGATATGATAATCTAATATTAATCATCTTATTTCAAGCGCTTCTATCATATGCAAGTAATATCGGCTGACGTGTCCTTATATATATTAAACCGAAATGTGCCGTCCCATCCACGGATGCCAAATTCTTAAATTGCGAATTCGTACCCATAGATGGACAGACACCTCAAATTAATAGTGGCAACACTCTAGGTGAGACAGTGGAGTCCGCCGGAGATGGGAACAGGGAAGTGAACCAGATCGGGGCGCACGGTGGAAATTATAAAACGGTCCCAACGTCCAGATCGGACTGGACTGGATCTGAATCTGAAATGTATGGGGTTGCCTGTCATGGTGCCACCCCGAATCCAGGGTTAAGAATTCAGGGTCTTCCAACTGCGAACTTGCTGCGAACTAGCGTATATAGAAGCTAGACGTAGATCTATATATATATACTTAGGCTTATATGTGTATAGCCTTTATGTATGTGATATGCGTTGGCAAATGAGTGCCGATGCCCAACTCACCGGAAGCGGAATATCGTATGCGTACACTGGCAAAGTCCTCAGTACCTCGTCCAGGCCCAGGCTCCACATGCGTTCTATGGTACTGGCGACTTGTGAAACCCAAGGCTTAAGCCGCATTAGGGAAGAGATATGTTGAAGCAAGAGAGCTGCTCGAGTCTGGCTCGGGTAATGAGCAATTCATTTGCAGTGTCATCTGGAGTATCAAGTATATTCGGATCCTGTGATTTTCAGGTATTCTGGCCTCGACTTGCACCACCTGAAAATGATCGTCAGCCCCGTGGAGCCAAGACGAAAGCCTAGACTGGCGATATTTTATACTTGTCCTCCACGCTGCATACTCGCTATTGGGCGTTGTATTTTTTGATAATTTACGTCTATTAGATTAAGGGTATTGAATAGTATCTATATAAATTCAATATCCCTTACAGCAAAAAAAAACGAACGTAAAAAGGTGGAAACTGATGACTCCATGACTTGGACGGTCTAGACTGTCCCGACCTGAAGAGTCTGGCCCCAGCCCTTGCCCCAGTCGGTACCCGGTACTTGGTCTAGTGCCTGTTCGCCCATACTATTCTCGTGTACCCGGTACCCACTTTTCCCTTCCCGTCCATTTCCATTCGATTCACGCCCTCTTTTGCTTCTTCTTCTTCTTCTTCTTCTCTTTTATCCCTTCTTTTCCTAACAAGACTCAATCATTTCCCCTCCCTCCTCTCATTAACGTCGATCTCTTCAGTGCCTCAACCTCCAACTTCCACTCCCACGCTCGGACCCGGCCATCATCTTTTGGTCATCCTTCGATCATCCGACGCATGATTCATGACCGCTGCCATCTGCGCCCGGATAACAAAGACTGGATGACACCCTCATGCAATGCACAGTACTGGCCCGGCACTCCCACACTTGACGATCACACCATGCATGTCCCACCAACAGTGAAACTCGACACCAGAGCACACCTCCCCCAGAACTCAGATATACAGGAAACTTTCAACCCCGGGAGGATCCGCCGACGAGCTTCACAGGGGTCTCTCCGAACAAGACCGTCACCGGTCTCTCGCTTTCTCTCCAAGAGTAGCGTGGCCGTGAACTTCCCATCGTGGGATCAACGGTCCTCGCCTAGTTCACCAGGTTCGCCGTACCGTTTGGATTCTCGCACTCGGTCGGTCGACTCTCGTCTTCGTCTTTCAACCACCGTGTCTCGCGGGCCGAGGCCTTTGGCTCCGTCGCCGTCTTGGAACGCGCATTATCAGGAATACCCCGCTATATTACCCCCCACGCCGCCGGAAGAGGATATCCACGTTGCGTGGAATCCCAAGTCCGAGATGATGTTGTTTGACGCGCACTCCCACCATCCGAGGTCTATGGCTATGATGGACGATAACCAGAGCGTGGACAATTCCTCCGCGACCGGTGCTTCGGACACATTCAGCAGCCCATCAGATGGGAGATCCTCCAGCTCTGGAGGCAGCCCTGGGCCCCACGATGATATGGACTGCCAGCAGGACATTGGCTCATGGCTGGATCATGGTATCAACTTGACTGGTAAGTTTTTTTTTACATATTCATACTGCAGGGCCGGTCACTGACTTTTCCAGCTTCATCACTTGCCCTTTGCAAGACAGGCGGCGAGGCCGTCAAAATCGTTTCCCAGACTCTTCCATACCCTAGGACATCTGATCAGGCAGCGTCAGTACCGAAAACCGACAGTGTTTTTACCTCTATGGTCCAGGCAGTTCACAACCACTTGCAACCTGGCCAATCACCCTATATCAACGTCACCCACGCAGTACCGGAGCAATTCAGCCTTTCGAATCTGCCTCACTCTCCTCCTAGCACTCCTCGTTCTCCGACTGCCGCCGAGGAATACTTCAACGCCACGGTTTTCTCCAGTGCGGCAGTTGTGGGTGCTTACCATGACTACAGTGGACCCCTCCAACGGCAAATGTCCCACGCTCCGATGCCCATTGTCCCCCCTCGCAGCGTTCACATCTCAGTCCTCGAGCGCTATCTCCCTCCAACCTCTGCCCAAGAGTACCGTGATTTGTTTTGCCGTACCCGTCCGTCTTTCCTCGTTGATCGTCTGAGTGAGCTATCACCGAATGGCGGCTCCCTCCTCTTCGTGTACCCGACCAAGAAAGGTGCATCAACCTTCAAGTCCCAATACTTGGGCCCCATCCTCGACCCCCTTCTCCGCCAACTCGTGGTGGTGAATGAGTTGTCCGCAGACGTGAGCCGCTACCTCGGCAAGCTCTCATCCGTCTCCCAGATGGACGACTTCGCCACCATGAAGGCGAACATCGTGGCGCTCTGTGAATCATTGAGCGACAACGATTCATCTTCCCGGTTTCACGTGACCGATGCAGGCCGCGGAGACACCCACCTCGACCGCAATCTCTGGGCCGAATGGTTCATCCACCAGGAAAAGCCCCGCATGAAGGAACTCCTCAATCTGTACTGGCAAAACGGCCGCCGTGCATCTAAGAGGACAAGCTCCGGTTGCTCCATGATGGGCAATAAAGAAGTCACACCTTCCGGGCTCCTAAGTGAAATCTGCGACGGCATCCGCAAACGACGCTATAACGAGGACAACGAGCCTCGTGATGGTATCGAGCTTGGTGTCTTTGTGATTCGTCGAACGAATTAGATCGCAGCATTGCTAGATCGCTTTTCCTCCTTTTTCCTCGACTCCTATTTCGAATCCCCACCTTCGAATCCTCACCCCTTTCATTTCCACCACCCCTTCTTCCCCAATAGCATATTTTAACACACGGCCTTGACAAAAGATGACATGGGACCCATGGAGGTGTCCCCGGTGTTGGATTTCGATTTTCCGGTGCGAAGTAATATTTTCGCACCTTGCATTACTCGTTTGGGGGTTCCATTTCCCCGCGTGAACATTTTGAATGAACTATGAATACCCCGGTGTTGGCGATTCGGGTCTTATATGACGTTTTGGACCTTTTTTTTTTTTCTTGTCTTGATGATGGATATAAATATACACGATTTAGTGGGAATATATCTGCTATTAACAACATTCTTTTCTGTAATCTAGGATATCACTGGAATATGTATGTTGTACTCCGTATCTGCAGGGATCATGCTTATGGTTTCGTTAGGCTCCCATTAGGCATCACCGAAATTACATGGTAACTATAGCTCATCTCATAACTTGGTCTATGGCTTTCATTGCGGACAACTACCATTTGTGCCGACGGCGCCGGATCCGACGCCCCCCTCGATCGGGTTTGGCGTCCTCATCGGCCCCCGTTCCGGTTTAGCGTGGCCAGATGCAATTTGGCGCCGCTCCATCCCTAAAATGGCACTAGTCCCCGCCACTTCCTCAACCAGTTAGACACATCCTGAACGGGTTTGGCGGCTGCCGCTTTCCCCGAATCGGTTATTGCTTGCCCCACAATTAGAGTCGCCATTGTGCGTAGAAGTCCTGCCGGAGGTATGGCGATATGTCCAATGAAGATATAAAAGCCACCGAAGACAAAATGCTCTTAGGGGCACTGGATTAGAGAGAAAGCGGCATGGGAACCCAGTCCCTATTTATATCTTGACAGGATCCAAAAGGGGGCTCCTGACCTACGAACTAGGCTCAAAATGCGGCTCTGTCCACGGCCACACATACTGATGGGCTTTCTAGCATACAGCTGAAAGTCCGTTGGCTGTGACTTGAAAATATCTCTAGGGTTGTGATAGCTTGTGCACTAGCGTGCGCCTATTTGATTATTTCTCGAAGGAGCTCAGCTCATGTATACTACACTCACCATTTGGGGGATAGATCAACACGTAATCTCCTTCAGGTATCACCACGCAGCATCATTGGTTAAGGCCAGTGCCAGGGCTCGAGAATGACAGCGTACATACAGCTGAGTGCGTCGGAAAGTTTGAGTTAAAAGAGGGGAACTCTATCACTTAGCAGGCCAGTGCAGATTTCTTAGCGAATGAGAGCAAGGTATTCGAGGGGAAAAGAGACTAATACCTCACTTTAGAGCAACATTGACCAGAGCGGGGTGCACGGCGCGAGTCTAATACAGAGATAGCCATACTGTGATCATGTTTAAGTCTCTACTAAACTAGTTACAACAGTCTACCCTATAGACCCTATGAAGATTCACCCACCTCCACTTTGTTTTTCTGGGCGCATAAGTAGCGTGGTATATAATTCAGTATCTTTACAGATTCAAAATAGTTTAATATCCAAGCAATGGTGCTCTCAGCCCTAAATTTAATATATAGTAGGGCCCCCGAGCATCACTCACTGCCTCACCAGGCTTACAGACTGATCTGGAGCCTAGAGATGATCTCACTGATCACACTGTCAGCTACTATGACATGGAGATCGGGTATGGGCAATATCCCTGTGGAAATGAACACGAAGAAACTCCAGGTACATATGGAGGCGGCCTAGCGAATGCGGGAAGAGTGGAGAGATACATGTGGCTCTCAACTGAAACTGCACAGAAGTTAAAGATGAACTTGAGGTGCTCTACCCAGGTGCGGATACTGGTCTTTTGTATGGCGATGATGAACTCTATTCCTGGTCTTCACGCCGTATACAGCCCATGGATTGGTAGTATGCAGGTTTCGATATGTCGAATACAGTCAGTCCCTTTGATTTTCGAGTATTACCTGCCGGATATTCGCTAGCTTAGTTACCGATAGATATCCAAGGTACAATAGCTGTGATCAATTGCGAGGAACATTAGTAGGAACATCAATAGGAACATATCAGAACAAACAACAATAGAAAATGGGAAAACGGATAATATATACGAATCCATTGTATTTACCTATTATATTTCCAAATACTTCTCTTAAGTTAGTACGAAATCCCTTTCCTCTTCTTATCTCCTACCTCACTGTCTATTCTCCGGGGCGGCCAAACATTCTGCCGTTCAATTCAACCGTGATCCACCCCTCCCATCTCATCTTCCTTCACCAACTTAATGCCATCTACCACTCTTTCTCGCCCACCTTCGCCACATACAATGTCTTACCCGAACCCTCCGCCCCTCAGCCCTGGCGGCGGGGCTGGCGGCGCACCCTCAAAACGCGACAAGCGACGCACTGCGCTCCAGGAGCGGCTCCAGGAATTGACGAGTCAGTTCAGCAATAACCGGGACATCCAGTTTCGCCAGCAGTTGCACGCCCTCCAGTGTGACATGACTCTGATCAACAATGCTGATCCTTACGTGACGGGACCGCTCCCGGACTCAGCGGAGAGCATTGCCTCGCTCATTGAGGAGACGATTGGCGGCGGCAGCAAGTTTGCGAAAGAGATGGCTGGCCTCGCTGGAACCTGGTATTCCAGGTTTGTGCAGGATGTTAATGAGATCAAGGAGAGGAGGGATGCAGAATTGGTTAAGGCCATGGTGAGTTGCTTATTTTTCTCATCTATAAGGAGTTTTCGCTAATCAGTACTTTTTTTTTTTCTTATACAGAATAACTACAACAACACCATGGAACGACAACAGCGGGACCGTGATTTCCGTACTTATTTCGCTCAAGAAGAATTCCGTCATCTGTCTGCTACCCTTCGAGAGCGATTGGTGCAGAATATCTCCGGAAAGCGCGCCCGTCTGATGCGTGAAAAGGAGCAGCTCGACATTGCCGACACGAATGCCCTCCTCCTCCACCCCAACCAGTTCAGTATCACGAACCCTGCCAGCCCTGGTGGTATCCACGGCAACCGCAAGACCACTCGGCACACCCGTCACCGCGTTGACCTCGACGAGTTGGGCAACGGTTTCATGTCCGAGTTGCACAAGCGCAAGCGGAAGGCTCCGGACGAGGACAATGGGTCGCCTGCGCTGGACGCAGGCGATGCTACCCCCGCGAAGCGCAACAAGACCGAGGCCGCAAAGGAGCAGGTGGCACCCGCCTACTCGATTCACTCGCTCTTCACCGACAAGGAACTCAACGCACACGCAAACCAGGCACACCTGGCGGCTGTCCATTTCTTCTCTACATCCAAGCGCCCAGATCACGGAACCGGCGCGGTGACGAATGGTAACAATACCGACGCGGATGAGACACCCGAGGGCACAGGCCACGAAGATAACGGCACCCCAAGTGCGGCGGATATGATGCGCACGGCTAGTCACAATTTCCATGCTACCCGATCTACCCGCACAACCGCCGCGCACAGTGCTCTGAGCGCCCTGGCTGATCTGGCCGATAAGCCCGCCACCCGCCCGATCCTCCCCTACCACGTCCTCTCCAATCACCACGCGCGACCCAACGGCAACGCGCCCCCATTGACTGCCCTGATGAACGAGGAAGTTGACGACGACTGCGCTCGCATCAGCCGCCTCGCTGCCAAACCATCTAATTGGATCGACACATCTCTAGTCGAACTCGTGGCGGCACCTCTTCCAACCGCAGAGGAGGTCGATGGTCACCCGTCAGATCCTGCCATCTTCAGCCAACTGCACCCGGATTTCGCGGCCCCAATGGGTGTCGACTGGACTCCTACCGTCTACAACCCGGGCTACGAGATGTTCCAGCCTGCGGCCATGGAACGCGAGCGCAGTCGCAAGCGTACCCGCAATCACTGAGGGATACGCGCATGAAATTTCGGATGTACGTTAAGATGGGATGGATGGTGTTTACCGCAGGTCGCGGTCATGGATTACCCTTTATTGATCATATTAGCTATGCTGTGAGGGATGGACCTCGGAGGAGTTTGGGATTTGAATTTTTTCTTTTTCTGTGACTATTTTCTTTTTCTCTTTTTCGGACTGATGTTCGCCCCGCTGGGCGTTGGGGAACACGCATAGCACTTCGTTTCTAGGTTCCTTGCCCCTATGTTGGGCAGTACAATTTACACGGATACCTTGTTTTTCAAGTCTGTAACTTGGTTTTAGGCGGTTGTCAATCTATATCATAGTCTCGGCCATTCGCGAGGAGGATGTATGCAGCTTATCCCCGGTGTTTCTTCCCCAGATGGCAATTGTGTCGATGACAGGCTTGAGGGCAACCCTTTAGGGCTATCTTGCCTTCAACCACCTCGGATTCCCTCCATCAAACTAACCTTCAATACAACTCCGAGTCTCCCCCAAGATATACTATCCAGGAGTCGAATAGTAGGTTCAACTGGGGCATGGACTGGCTGATGTTCTATACTGATATCGACTTAGGGCTAGTATCCACCTCATCATCATGACAAAAACGGAACTCATCACCGACTATTATAACTATTCTATTAAGCGGATTCTCCAGATATTTCCAAAACTACAGCAAAACAACATCCCAAGCACCAAACCACCCTTCTACCCTTCTATCTTATCTTCATGATCCGGCGCGCCCTCGCCATCCACACCCCCATCCCAAAACCAATGACAACACGACGAGCAAAAGCCGAAACCGCCAATCCCCTCATAAGCGGCAACATCAGACCAACCTTCCAAGCCTTCAGCCAAGACGCCGCAGCCCCAAACTTCCACAGCCGCATCCTCCCCGCCATAAAACACGACCACCTCGAACTCGAAGCCCACAGCCGCAAACTTCTCATCTCAACAGACCCAGACGAGCAAACCCGCTTCCAAAACCAATTCACCTGGGAGCTAGCCCGCCACCTCGTCGGCGAGGAACTCGTCGTCTACCCGGCGCTGATCGACTCCCTCCCAGACGGCCAAGGCATCGTCGATAAAAACAGACTCGAGCATCATGGCGTCAAGCACCAGCTGAAAGCGTTCCAGGATATTTCGTCTACGGACCCGCGCTTCGTGCCGACGCTGCAGGGCCTTATGCGCGATTTCGGTATTCATGCGAGACATGAGGAGGATGTGGATCTGCCTAGGCTTGAGGAGTTGCTGAGTAAAGAGGAGAGTGTTGGGTTGACGAAGTCGCTGGATCGGATTAAGATGTTTGTTCCGTCGAGGGCGCATCCGATGGCGCCTACGGAGCCGTTCTTCGAGAGTGCTGCTGCCCTTCTGGCGGCGCCGGTGGATTTGTTGGCAGATTTGTTTAGGAAGTGGCCTGATGGGAAGTAGAAGAGCTCGTAGGTTTGTATCGCTAGGGGGTTTGTGAGAGTATGTCTAGGGAATTCTGATATATTGGATACTGATACTGATACTGATATGATATGAAACTAGATTTAGATATGCCAGTCCATTCTATCCATTCAACTACTAATTAGAATACTCCAGAATTGTGAACAATACAAATTAACCTCTATCTTTTCAACCCTACACTTAGAAACCATGTCGTCATTAAATCATCCCTCCACAGCCAAAACTGTCGATCCCGTCGCGCCCAACCGTTGCCCTGAATAACTATAACGCTGCAAGCGACGTAGCCTCCCCAATCGATTCGCAGTCTCGATCGCAGACTGCTGCACCTCATCATCACCCGACGAAGATCGCCGCCGTTTCCACGCCTTACGGAACTGGTGCTGTTCATCGTCCTGCTGTCTGTGCCGCATAGACAGAAACCCATTATGGGCCTCCTTTTCTTCGCTGAGGGCCTGGACCTGAACCGACAAAAATTAGTTCATAGTTCGTTATCTCTCCTGTCGGGACTCAGACTCAGAAATGTGATATCGAACTCGATTGCATGGAACAATACAATAGTAACGTAGAGAAAAAGAAAAAAGAAAAAGAAAGCAAAAATAGTCGCCAACATACATAGGTCAACCACACCTCCTGCTCGGAACTCCACGCCTTCTGACACCTCCCCAGCTGTCTCTTCGCATGCACAAGCTCCCTCTCCTGCTCGGCCGTCCACCGGTCCCGACTGCGGATAATACTCGCCCAACTAACGGCGCGATCAAGCTGGGCGCGCGTCGGACGCGCCTGGCTGGAATAGTGCACCCGGCACTCGGAAGCCGGGCCCGACGCCGGTCCCGGGATATTGTCCGGCGTGGATGATAGTGATTGGGGGGTGGGTGCGTTGTGGTGTGCGTGAGTCTTCACCGCTACCTGCACGGGGCCGTGGACGTCACGGTGCATGAAGACGGTTCCATTGTGCTGGTCTTCGGCGTGGGGACTGATGTCGGAGTCTGAGGAGCCGGGATTCTTTTCATCAATATGGATTTCCAGCTCGGGGGATTTGCCTTTCAGACTTGTTCGGCGCTTCCAGGGGAGCGGTAGCGGTGGTAGGGCTCGATAGACGATTGTGAAGACTGACATGGTTGGGATCTCGACACACATAGACTATATGTATGGGAAAGGAATAGATGAGATGAGCGACGTATAGAGCTACGTTACTTGATATTCGTCTCTGGGAACGGTCTGCTGCCCATATTCGCTGCTACCAACCCTTGCTTTTATAAATGTTCCGGTGTCGCCTCCCATGTGGTACTTCGCGATCTAGCCAGACCGACTCTCAAGGGCGAGAACCCGTGCAGGGACACCTCGCAGGAACCTCGCACAGAGGTGGGGACTGCGAGGCTCTCCGGCTTCTGCTTGGCTGCCCACGCGAGAAGTATACGATCGTGCAGGAAGCGCGGGTTGGCGTGGTTGGTCTAGATGGCGGAGGACTGCAGGGTTGGTCGGGACTTCAATGTAGATTGTGTTTGCTTCTGGGACGGTTTGACAGTTTGAGGGTTTGGTTGTACAGTTGTTTCATTAGGAGGAGACAAAGTGGGTTTGGATTGACGCTGACGTTGACTAGCGGGTACGAAGGAAGTACAATGAGTTGGACTGAGCTCAACTCATGCGATTAATGTTTATATCCCTACTCTGTCAGATACTCGGGGAAATAAGGGATCTCGATGCAGCAGACCTCCATAGTTGGCTGGATCCATGTGCTCCAGATGCAATATACACATGGTGTTCGCAGTTGAAGTCAAGGATCCCCTTGCGGGATTTGGTACTTTCGCACTTGGTCAAACTTGGAAGTATACAGTCCCACATTCATGTCCAACTGACAAGGCTAGAGAATAGAGAAAGACGCCTAAAGTAATTACGGGCACAATAAACCCTCCAAAACAGCCCAATGCTGCACACAAGCCTAACCAATAACCGTGAGGGAATCATAATCATAACAAGAACAGACGTATTCAAAACAAAACCATGACGCCAAATGCTCATCGGATATCCAAAAAATGTACATGAGACAAAAAGAAGTGGGCAAAAGAAATATACATTCATCGCCATGTATCCACAGAAGCACCCCGGTTGGCCTTGGCCTTTCTTTCCTCTCGGATCTGCTCGCCAATAATGATGCTAATGAGTCTCCGATGCAGATCGGCTTCTGTCCAATCGATCTGTCCGCTGCCACCATATTGGATATCAGCCCGAGCAAGCTCCTGAGCAAAGCGATCGATAATGGCAAATTGAATCTCTGTGATGGGCACCCCGTGATGACCATCGGAGGTCCATATCCAATCACCGATGATGGCAGCCCGCCCTGGAGAATCGTGATATTCAAAGTGCTCGGGGTATCGCTTGGCAATTCGGTAGATACGACAAAGCGCGGCGTAATGCTCATCGGAAAAGTATCCGAAGACAGCAAGTGGTCGTGGCCCTGGGGATGCCCCATTCTGGTGGTTCACTGGCTCTACATCTTCGTTCTCTAATGGATCTTGCGAGACACCACGCCCAGATACCGGCTGCTCTTCTTCTCGGAGGTCCCGAGAAACACTTCTCTCATTCATCGGAACCTCCTCCTCTTCCACGGTAGGATGAGGATCTTGCTGGATCTGGGGAGACTGGGATGGTGATGGCTGTCTCCAATTGCTCGCCGGTGATTGGCTCGTTTGCTTTGAGAGCGGCTCATCCTGGAGATGTCCCTCAAGCTCCTTCGCAGATTCAATGCTGGCCATTTCCTCTTCATCTTCGAATTCAGATGCTTCCTCCGGAATAGTACTAACACTCGAGCTTCGGCCACGGGTCGGGGCTTTCAGCCATTGCGGGGTGAAACTGGTTATTTTACTGAACCAGGATGATCCTGGCTCCTCTTTGTTGAGCTGACGAGGTTGCGGGGTGGAGGCAGAATCCACGTTGGCAGATTCCGATTGACCGAGAGCGGCGCTAGAAACGCTGCTGCTGTCGTAGTCTTCTTCCAACTGCTCTTGTATAGGCGGGCTTTGTATAGGCTTCGGAGATTTCTTCCCATCAAGTAACGCGATTTGTGGACTGTGGATCCGTGGGTTGGGAGTATCCGGGCTGGAATGGGAGAGAGGTTGTAAACGAATGCGCGCTGGAGTGCGCGATACCGGATCCTTCATGACAGAATTATTGATTGGTGAATTCTGTGTCCCTGACGGGCGGGCGAGTAAACGAGGCGTACTCGTTCCATTGTAATACCGTGCGCGGTTTGGTGTATCCTCTTCTGCAAGCAAAGCAGACAAATCGACCTTTTGCTCACGGAGCTCGCGGACCTTGGACGGTCCGAAGCGCGCTACATAATTCTGCTCTGAGGTAGGGTAAGGAGATGAACTCAGGTAGTCTTTACCTGCGGAAATCGGGGCAATATTGCCCAAAGGACGTGCAAGCGGGTTCGGATGAGACCGGACATCATCATCCTCGACGTGTTGTGAGACATGGCTGTGATCATTCGCTTCAAGTTGCCAAATGTCGTCATAACCATCATCCTCATCTTCCAAGGGCTCGGGCTCGGGCTCGGGCTCGGGCTCAAAGTCTTGGGGCACATATGGCGCTGGTTCTGACGCTGGTTCTGGCACGGGTGCAGGTGCAGAATCGTTGTGCTCTTCATCAAACTCATTTCCGTTCTCATATTCAAATCGTTGTTCATGTTCAGGTTCGATGCCCCGATCCTCTTCCGCCGCATTATCATCGCTATCAATATAAACGACGGATTGTGAGTTTGCAGCCGTCTGAGCCTGGCGGCTGACTGCTTCTCGCTCAAGCTGCCATTGTGCCTCCCGCTGTGCCTTCTGGGGGGACACCGGGCTTTGCTGAATGAAGTTGTTGAGACTGGAACGTGACGGTTGGATGTACCGCTCCTGCTTCTTGATCTCGTCTTCAAAGGGTCGATCCTGATCCTGCTCTTCCGATTCTTCGTCATTGAAGCCATTATATTGACGTTCTTCCTGTTCTTCCTGTTCTCCTTGTTCTTCCTCGAGACGTTCCTCCTCACGACGAGCAGCCGCATGATCTGCTGCTATAGCCGCAGCCTTCTCTTCCTCGGCGAGCATCCGGCGCATAGCAAGCTCCTGTCCTAGCCCCATAGCAGCTCGGAGTTCCCGCTGCGTTTCAGCGTTGAATGTGCTAAAAACACCCTCCAACCGACGTCTTTTGTGACGGGCATTACTCTTACCAGACCACTCGTCTTGTTGCGGCTTAAAGGGACCTTGTAGGGCCAAGCTAAGTCGAACAAGTTTAGCCAAACTGGTGAGTGTCCTCTTCTTTGGAACAATTGTTGATTTGGCAGGAGACGATGCGGCAGGGAGCTCAGGATAGGCGATCTCATTCACGTAGTTAACGGATTGCCGCTCGATCGCATGTGCAGTGTACTTCTCCGGAATATGGGTGCTTGGAATTTTGTATAGCCCAGAATCTAGGCCCGTAGTGACTGGACTGGATGCCTTTTCAGCACGAGAATCACCTCGAAGATCTTGGATCGTCCCGGGAAGTTTGCGTCTCAACCGTTCTCCGACTTCCTTCGGTTTGGGACCGCTGTTCGTCGTAGCGCTGGAGCCGAATCCGTGCTGCTTGGCTGACGGGAGCGTATCAAGGGAAATCATAGTGAATCCTTCACTTTCCATGATAGTGTCGAATTCATCGTACTCGTCCGCGGGATCTTCAACGGGATCGGTTTCAGCATGGTCGGTCTCCGTCCTTGTGAAATGATCCGAGTCGGCTTGTCGGGTTTGATTTTCTTCATCGGCTAGCGAAGATGTGGGGGTCGGAGTAGGATATGTGCGCGATTGGGGGCTAGCGGTATTGGTATTACGAGAAGCTCTCGATGACAACATAGCTCTCTCGCGTGTCGGTGATGGCATTTTAGAAGGCGTGGAGTGGATATTCTCATCATCCAAAAAGTGATGTTCCGTAGCTCCGATAACAGGTGTCTCCAAACTCGTTCGGCCGTAATCACGGCGAGTATTGTCGAGATTGGGTTCTGTTGGATGGAGAAGCTCTGCATTTGATATCTCCGAGTTCCCCCAAGAGTCGTCATCGGATTCCACATCCCCTATGAGATTCAAGGGACTGGCGTTTGCATTACTTCCAGCAAACGAATCCGTCGGACTGAACCGTTGTTGGCTTCGGCTAGCGTCACTAGTGAGGGCATCTGTGGGGCTGAATCCTCGGTGGCCCAGACTAGCATCACTAGGTATTGTATCCATCGGACTGTATTCATGCTGGCCTAAGCCAGTTTCATTGGTCGTGGTGTCCATTGGACTGAATTGCTGGTTGTGACGGGCATCACTATTTGGAACGATATCCATCGGACTAAAGTGGTGGTCATATTCGATAGTCGGCGTTGCTTGGTCACCCAGCAACTGGAAATCCTGTGATTTGGGCCTGGGCGTGCCCCGTGGTCGACCTCTTTTGCGTGGTTGAGAGTCACCAGCTTGTGGTCCAGGAGTATGCCCCGGTCCAGGTGTATTCCCCGGCCCAGGTGTATGTCCAGGGCGAGGGGTACGCGCAGCAAACGGGGACAAACTAATGTCAGACTTTCGAGGACGCCCTCGCCTCTTGTACTGCGTTTTCTCCTTCAATGGACTCCTCTCATCCTTTAATGGTATCATCGTTGTTATGGCCGAGGGCTTTAATCGTTTGCGCGACGGGCTACCCCGGTTCTCGTCATCTTCGTCTTGTGTCGCTTCCAGCGTGAGTCGGATGCGCCATGGGCTGACATTTCCCTCCTGAAGCTTTTCCGGAGAGAGTGACCTTTGTCGACCACCATTAAACTTCATTGCTGGCGACCCGGGGAGTATGACATCTTTGAATTGAATCGAATGCGCGCTTTTTGCGGGACTGAGGCTACCGCGCGGTCGCGGTCGCTTGGCCGGAGTCCGTGATTTCGCTACCATAGGAGACATCCAGCTTTGGCGCCCTGCGAATGGTTTGATCGGTGATGAGATCAAGTACTGGGCATCGCCCGGAGGACCTAGGATATCGGGGGAGGAGCTCTGGCTGCGCGACGAGGCCGACATGGCGGACTCATGCGATGGAATCTCGGGAGGCACGCGTGCCACCAAAGGGGTGGAAGAGCGCACGCTAAGGAATGCAACAATGAAAAAGTGCAGTCGTCTCGTAACTATTCACAGGCCTACTTTATGATACATAAATAAGAGAGAAAACGCGGGGCAAGCCATAAACAAGTCTCCCGATGCGGTACGAAAGAGCGGTCCTCGAGGTGGTTAGGTAAGCATCTCCCTAAACAACCCTTTGGAGTTCTATTATTGGACACGATCTTCTCTTCCCCCTTTGTGTCTTGAAACATAAGTGGAGATGTGACAATAGGAAATATTTCCTCGGCTTGCCATCGACCCAATTCTTTACGGAGTACAAATCGACGTCATTCACACTGGGCACTTAATTCAATGTTACACCGCAAGCTTCAACGACCAGATGCATTTGCACATCTTCCTTGGAGATTCCCGACTACCTTGTTCCTCTGATATGCCAGTAGGACATTCGCGGCACGTCTTGGCCCATGACAACCGGCAAGACTACCATTTGTGTATTCACGTCGTCCAAAACCCGGCGGTCGGACAAGACCAACCCATAGGTGATATCAGCCAACCCAAAGCCAAAGTCTCGATGATATTTAAATAACCCGTATAGGGTACTGGTATTGTACGCATATATTAATGTTGATCAACTCATACTGCGCACATTATTTGCATTGTCACACTACCAGCCTTTTCGGGTGAAGGAGCCTTCCCCATCTTCATCGGACATGAATTTGGTGATGCTGAGGAGTGAGTCTTGGGAACCCTAAAGAACCATTTCCTTGAAGCGCCTCGCGCTGCGCGCATGAATCGAATCAGCTTCCAGCGTGCAGAGGTGGTCGAATACGTGTTGGCGTATCAGGTACATGTATAGCTGGCTACAGAAATGTGATTCTGCCGTCATTGTAATCGCTACTAAGTTGTCAGATACCACTTTTCACTGGCGATATTCGAGACTTCGAATTTGGCTCAAATTGTGGCAAAGAGCCGAAGCCAACGCGACTCTATAGTTGATTTGTCGACATTGGATGTATTCATAGTTTGGGTCCAACAAATTCTATCGCGTATCTTGTCTCAAATTGAATAGTTGTTTAAGATATGAGAGTATAGAAATAATTATTAACTCTGAGGTGATGAAGTGGGCTGCCAATCCACGGATTTCAGGTCCTTAAAATGCCATCTAATCCATGCTTCCCACAACTAACCTCGAGCTTATACATCTCGGCGTTTCCTATCTAATACCATCAGTAGCAAAGCAGTATTGGTAGAAAAATGTGAGGGCTGGTTACCTGTTGAGGTGAGAACACTAGATATCTGACAATTATCAATGTGGCCCCGGGGAGTTGCCGCGGTAGTCTTTTCATATGTCTTTTCAGTTGTCTTTCTTCTCTCTCATTTTTTACAAATGTGAAATTGACCTTCCTATAAACTTTTGACCAATTGCTTTAATTGAGCGCGCCCGGGCTCATTATATTCACGGAGCTATAACTTCCTAATTAGGCTTAGTAGTAGATGCTTTCCAATATTGAAGGCATTTTCATTGCTGGAAGGTGTCACATGATCCCCATTATGCTGTATGCAGATAGTTTCTTATATTCTTTATTTAGTCAAATGTACTCTTTCTTATTCAAGAACGACCTGGAATCTCACACTACATACATATTCATCCACGCATAAAAAATCCACGATGTCTTTTATATCCAGGGATGACTGGGCAAGTATTCTGACCCCTGACGATGCGGTAAATCTGCAGGCATCAGGGCTGGCCAGCCCTCCTCTATATGATGGCACCCGCCGAATTCATAAACGACGCTTGAATAGATCCAGCGACGAAGAAGAACAACATCTCCCGCTGACCCCCACATCAACCGCGAGCTTCAGGAGGCTATTATGGATCCTAAGTTTCAACATATCCGTCTAACCGAAACTTGTAAGTTCTGGGTTCAGGACACTATTCAGTTACGACACCGGGGGCTACGGGCGATACAAGAAGCTTCTCGTAGGCGTGATATGGCTAGTCAGCGGGAAGCTTCCAGACCTGGATGACGATCGATATCGGTGGTACCTTGGTTGTCACACGAAACTGCTTTGTCTCCCGCTGTAACAAGTGCAGCTGCAAATGCACCGGGGTACAAAACTCTATACAAGGGTATTGACCAAGCTTAGATTGATAGTCTATTCGGCAATGATAGCAGCGTTGACTTTTCATGCCTTACATCCGCGCCACCTACTGATTTCTCGGGACGACACGCAGATATTTACTTTGCTTTTGAGCGAGAAGTGGCCGAATATTATGCCTACTATGCTAAACGCCGCAGCATATATAGCGCGACTGTCATTATTCACATCACTATCCCGAACTCGGTTCTGGAGTCTCTCCCTGCACCCGATATCCAGCGTATTTATTGGCCTAGCGCAGAGTGGAAGTCGCTTATCTTAACTTGTCGACGAAGGGAAAAGGTCCCGTCTAATCTCCGCAAGTATCAACTGGCGAAGCTTGTGATTGGCACCATTTGTGGCAAACCGACCTATGGTTTCGGCAATATGCAATCTCCAGATGAAGTCGCGGAGAGGATGGTTCTTAAAACTAAAGATGGACGTAACGCCGTCTAGTTCTTTTTCAAAGGGGACGATGGAGATACGTCCAGCAACGTTGCGGTCTTCCCTCTGACGACACGGGAGTTTGAGGATTGGCGTGACACTGTCTAGTTGCTTGTGCGGGATGTTGATTCTTGTTTCTTTGAGAACTCGATGGTCTTCGTTACTAAATTATCATTTACTGGGTCAACTCTCGGATATCCCTAACTGTTGATGTAGCTAGTAGTGTAAATCTAGTATTGTAGAATGAGAGGGTAGTCATGTAACATATCTGATAGAGCCCACATATTTTAGGAGCATGGTTGCGGTAACTTGACCCTACTTGCCAGGACTCTTATTTTCCAGAGTGCAGTCGACTAGTCTAATACATTTGTAGTCCCTCCTCTCTCTTCCTTCTCCTGGCCTTTCGAAAACAGAGAATCAGAAAAGACAGGCAGTGTGCTTCGAGCGTTTGAACCAAATATCGTGGAGAATAAAGAAATTATCCGATACTACTCAGAAGGAGCGCAGTCGAAGAACCAAATTGGCTGCTCTAACGCTTATGAACCGATAGAAGGTGTAAAGATATGTCCGTAGATTTCAGTGAGAATCTCCATATCAGCTTGTAGGGATGGCGAACCAGACCCCGTATGTTGCAAGAATCGGATCGTCCTCTCAAGAAGGCATTGGAGTCAATCCCTGTCAACCAACTCTCGTAGGTTCGACATGTAAGTGGCGGATAGAACAATTTTATTTCCAAATTGCCTTTATGCATATGATCAGCAAACAATCGATTCCAACACACCCAATATATTAAAGGCTTACCCATGAGCTGTTCCAAAGATATTGGTAATTATTAAGCGACCTTCGATCCGATCAAATGCCATTGTATTCAAGATAGCCGACTTGATGCATTTCAGTTTCTTCATGACTCTGGGGTTCTTGAGCAAAATAAAGGTAATGGCACCGAGCAGCGCTGCGGTAGTCTCAGACCCAGCGTTGAGGAGTGAACGCATTGTTGATAGTTTTCCATCCTTTGCTTCCGCTTTTCAGGACCAATATCATCCAGGCCGTGTCGTGTCTCTGTCTCTTCGCTTCTGGATCCTTCGGCAAAGCGCCGAATCCACCGAACCAACAAGTGTGGGGAGCGGGAAGGTGGGCCTAACCCTCTTTAGAGTTTGAGCCTCCCGCTCATCCCCGACAATTCACGTGATCCCCACTTAATCAAATCAAAGCTGATTAGTTAGTTACGGAGTATGTACTAACTAACTAATATTTTCGAAGGGGCATAATCATATTCCTTGCCGGGTTAGTTCACCATATCCAGGTCCAAATATTCTAATTAATGTCACATCTCATGTGTAATAACAACAACACTGCCAACCCCCCTCCGTTACCAGAAAAAGGTATCCCCTCACGGCCATCTAGACTCATGTCCTGGCCACTCTCCATTTCATATATGAATCCATTATCTACACCAAGCTTTCCCAACGCAATCCAGACTATTATGCTCGTTTTGTCATCCGGATACCCCGACTCACGGTTCCATGGTGCGGCATTTGAGTGGTCGATATCGGACCATTTTAACAGATGTGCTCTCGGGTCAGGAGAAATCTTCCGTTGAAATTTCTTCACTACTCTTTCTATATTTGACCGGATCTATCGATACTTAGGAATGGGTAACAATAGGTATGGTTAGGACTCACTATGGACCATTCCACAACCACGCGTTCAACGTGCCTGTTTGACGGCAAGATGAAATGGGCAATATTTCCCTGTCGGATCTAAGTTCTGAAACAAGATCTTGTTCTGATGATCGAATTGTCCGTTCGGCTCCGTCCGAAATCGTAGAACTGATTGCTTGCTGGGTATCTTTCTTTGGCTTTTCCTCGTAAGTCGTGGATTGCGATCTCATTGCTTGTTATGTCTCGTGGCTTGGTTCCATCGCTGCTTCAAAGCCAGGGCTGGCTTCTAGAATGGTATAAAAAGTATTTGATGTGAACAATACAAAAAGGGAATATGCGCAGGCGGTGCGAGGCGAGGGGCCTCTAACATCACGTGCTTACGCTTGAAGCGCATTCGATGCATCCTAGGGCCTATAATACGTATCAAGGCTATAAAGTAGGCCGAGGATAGATTTCAACGGGTAAACTAGAAAAGAAAAGCAATCTCCGTGGTGATCAAGGTAATCAAGGGCAGAGAAGGCCTACTATTATCCGAGCTTGAAAACCCATGCTCCTAGTTTTCCTTCCTCCCTTTCCATCAGCAAAGGACATATTGTATGGTAGTGCCGTTTCAATTCGACAGGTTTGCTGCCAATTGTCACATTGCCCGAGATGTAGAATGGAATTATCACCACGTCAGGTCGCCCAACTGTGATCTTTAGTTCAGAAGATTCTTGTTCTTCACTTCGACCACTTGCATCTCGGAGTATAGGTAGTGTGCGAGCAATTATGTGTTAAATCAAATTAGATGATGTTCCGCGGGGGAATTAGGAGGGGTCCTTCGAGCCTAATTAACAACCGCATGCGTGTATGTGCGCAAGATATCGGGCGCCATGGAACTAGATCCTGTATGTTGGGAAAATCCGAAGTTCTATACAAGCTCAGGAAATGGCTTGCGATTTGAAGGCCCGACAAACAAGGACATCAAAAACAAAACAAGTCCGGATGAGTAAGTTTTGTATGTTTTGCTTGAAAATATATCATCCATCGTTTGTTCAATGGAAGTAACTAGATCACTTAGATATGTTATCACCTAGGCTACCATGGACTTCTAACAACTCGTAGCAAAGTCTACCACCTGACCATTATCCGACCATACGATACCTATATCTAAACCGTTGAGTAAAAATCATGACTTAACGTTGGATTCCATGATTTTCGTCATGTCCGGCGAGATGAGTGGATCAGTTCCGATCAGTGGCGAACGACGGACTCCCCATTTCTGATGATGATTTAAGCATCAATTATGAAAATGGAAAATCTTTTAACTAATAATGGGTCCAGCAATGACGAATCATTCGGTGCTGATTTTAGGGCTGGGGTGGGAGAGTTCGGAGAAATTCCCTAAGCATCGCATTGCCTGACATTCCCAACGGTTCAACACTTTCTTGCTGGGAGCAACGCAACTGACGATTGACCCATTGGCATGAGATAGCTAGACGGTTTTTTATGTTAAATAATGTCTCTGGATCCAGGGTCCGCAAATTTGAAATATTCTCATCTCGCAGCCATCACTCCCATCCCCACAATTTCATAAACACTAGAGACCTACAGGTCTCGTCTCCACTACTACAATGGCGAAACCCGAGCCAAGTGGTGGAAAGCAGCATATCAGCGAGAAGCCTGTCACACTCGGTAACTGGTACCAGCATGTCAACTGGGTCAACACAACCCTCATCCTGATCGTACCCGTCGGTGGCCTCATCGCTGCATGCTACACACCGCTGAGGGCAGCCACTGCTGCTTGGGCAATTCTCTACTACTTCTGGACCGGACTGGGCATCACTGCCGGCTACCATCGTCTGTGGGCGCACCGATCCTACGAAGCGTAAGCCTGCTACTGCCTCACCCTAGTTGCTTCGGATGAAGCATTGACTAACATCTGATATCTCTAGTGTCCTTCCAGTCAGAATATTCCTTGCATGCGTCGGCGGTGGCGCCGTCCAAGGGTCGATCCGGTGGTGGAGCAGTAAACACAGGGCACACCATCGATGGACCGACACAGTGAAGGACCCATACAGCGTCATGAAGGGCCTCTGGTATTCGCATTTTATGTGGATGGTTCTGAACCAAAACCCAAAGAACAAAGGCAGGACCGATATCTCCGACTTGAACGAGGATCCCGTCGTCGTCTGGCAGCACAAGCATTATGGATCGGTCATCTTGGTTTTCGGGATGTTGTTCCCTATGCTCGTTGCTGGCCTGGGATGGGGTGATTGGAAGGGTGGTCTTGTATATGCTGGCATTCTTCGGTTCTCGTTTGTGCAGCAAGCCACCTTCTGCGTCAATTCTCTCGCCCATTGGTTGGGTGAGCAGGTTAGTCATTGTCCATATCCTGTTCTTGTCATATTTCCGTTCGCTCTGACACGCTTTAGCCATTCGATGACAGGAACTCCCCTCGCGATCACGTCGTTACCGCACTGATCACTCTCGGCGAAGGTTACCACAACTTCCACCACGAGGTAAGAAAATTGTTCCCTTATATTTACTTTGCATCCACTAAACTCTGACCAGTTCCCCTCCGACTACCGCAATGCCATCCAATGGTGGCAGTACGATCCTACCAAGTGGTCAATCTGGATGTGGAAGCAGCTCGGTCTGGCAACCAACCTCAAGGAGTTCCGAGCCAACGAAATCGAGAAGGGCCGTGTGCAACAACTACAGAAGAAGCTCGACCAGAAGCGCGCCAAGCTTGATTGGGGTGTTCCTCTAGATCAGCTGCCTGTTATCGACTGGGACGATTTCATTGCTGAAGCTCAGAGTGGCAAAGCTCTAGTTGCCATTGCCGGTGTTGTTCACGACGTGACCGACTTTATCAAGGAACACCCTGGTGGTAAAACCCTCATTTCATCGGCCATTGGGAAGGATGCTACTGCCATATTCAACGGTGGTGTCTACACTCACTCCAATGCCGCCCACAATTTGCTTTCTTCCATGCGGGTTGGGGTGATTCGCGGTGGTGGTGAGGTTGAGATTTGGCGTCACCAAAACAACCAAAAGGGTGTTTATGTTTAATCTTTGGGAAGTAATTAGAGATCGGTTTGCCAATTTGTCAAGTTTCAAGTTTCAAGTTTCACGAGAATATGAATATCCACTTCTATGACCGGAGTTGCCGGGGCCGACACCAATTCATAACTTTCCTATTACGAAGTAGATAAAATTGCTTCAACTTGCCTGTCATATTCAAAATCTATAATTAATCAATAATACTCTGCTATTGTATGCTCCATGGTATTTCTGTGGTGCTGAACTAGTACATTTTCTATTTGAAAACCACATAAAAAGTAGTACAAGAATTAGACGAAGAAGCAGATGAAAAAACCATAAAAAGACATAAATAAAGCCATATATGTAGTCTAAGATCAATGGTTGGTTGTACTATTGTGAATGCATACCACCCATTCTTGGTTGATCGGATCACCTTATAAAGTCACCTGATCGACCACTATGAAGCCATTCAGAGATGTTGAATACCCTGCCATGTTTGTCCTGTTTGATAGGCTTCAGCTCTCTGTTTGCTTGTAGAGATCATTTACCACCATAAGGCTGTTCAGATCTCACCCGATCTAGGCTTAAAATAGGGACCCGTGGTGGATGTCGACGTTACTTGCGGCTTCATGGGAATCTGAACAATTAAACAGTCTCCCAGTCAGAGCCGTGAAGACACCACAACCAACATGGATCGACGCATTTGGGATATCTTACTAGCCTACGACTAGGCGGGTGGTTAGAGACCCTTCAATGACGAGTCTTGAAAAATACCATGAATGGCAATAAAAGTGACTTTCAGACGGCCAATACCAATGCCAATGTCAATGCCAATCGCTTCTTGAATTGAATTGTATGATAGAAAGCATACCACATCCAGATCCAGAATAGTGCTTTTGGATTTTAGATTATGTCATATTAAGAAGTGAACATGATGCTGATACTTGCTGGAATCCGAATTTTATGATGAGCACAAAGTATGTCCAAAGCCAACCATAGAATATGGCCCGCGACGAATTTGGCTTCGGCTGCTTTTTTCTCTCTCTTAGTTCTTACTTCTTCTTCCCTCTCTCTATGTGCCCATTTCAACCTCGCCTCTCCTCACGCTATGGATGAAGATTTCAAAGATAGCGTTATCATCGTTATGTCAATTGCGAGCATCATTTCCACTGCACTTGCTACCATTTTCTTCCAACTGTGGATGGCCTATCGCCTCGAATTTCGTCGTTGGTCAGTCTAGAACAAAGCCATCACAGCACACGGACAGTATTGTCCGACTTGTGGTTCATGTTAAAAGCTACAAGGACCGGACACTGGTGATGGTTAAGGCCCTCTCGAGATGGGAACTTAAGACAGAAGTTGCCAATTATCAGGCTTTTCGAAGAGACAGTGTGTCTTATCAATCTAAGTTTGCGGAATGGAGTCAACGTGAGTTGACTTGGTATTCGACTAAGACGACAAATGACTCCTGAACTCGTTAGGCAATTAGGGCCCGGTTTCCTTAAGAGATTGATCAAAAAGGGCCCTCTTCTTTTAACCTTTTTTAGTTGGCTTATTTTAGCTAGAACCACTCATGTATTTCTGTTTCTTTTATCAAACCCATGAAAAGTGATATGAAGATTACAATTTCTGTTTCCTGTTCCTTGGGCAAAAAAGGGCTGCCATATATCCGTTGACAGGTTCCAATGTAGCTAGAAAGAGTTCATCTCGCTTCCAAAATAGCCCAGGTTCGTCTCCAAATAACCATGTAAGGATTATGCTGCTCTGGGATCCCTGTCAACAAATCTTAACCCGTCACTTCTCTAGTAAATACTGTGTCAAATATACTTCGTCCTGATTACCTACTAAGCAACCGAAAAGTCTACGTCTTCCCGGTGCAAGTCAATTCGCGCGACTCATTTTAAGCCATCTCCATTGATCGTATTATGATACTTTTTTTTCCAAACATGTACGGGCCTGGCAAACCCCTCCTCGTCCCTCTCAACTTCCAATATCCTCTCAAATCCCAGCGCTTTCAACTCAGTCTCAAACGGCGGTCTGATCTGAATCGTCTTATACGTCTCTCTCAATTCTTTATTCTTCTTTGAAGCTCTCGCATAATTGCTCATAGGCTGCGGCTCCACGACGAGATAGCCGCCCTCATTCAGTATGCTTTGTATGTGCGCAAATAGCGTCAACATCCCGGAGTCCCCGTTGTTGAGATGAACCCACTTGGTCACAGAGAGCAGTAGGACAACGTCGAACTTGCCCAGCGCGGTACCCGTGTACGCGGACGCATCCACGAAGTCAAAGTGCTCGAATGTGCACGGCCCGTCCGGGTACGCCGCCTTCGCCTGCTCGACCAGCCACGGGTCGATATCGACGCCGACTGCGGCGGCCGCGCCGCAGTGCGCTATCGCCTCATAGGTCAGTTTGCCCGCGTTGCAGCCTAGGTCTATGACTCGCGCGTCGCGGAGGATATCTGATGGGAGAATAGAAAGGCGCTCGTCTGGAACGGTAGGTGCCCGAAACTTGGCGTAATATTGGTGGTAGTTGCCATGGCGCGCGGCGAGGTGCGTAGCTTTGAAGCGCTCTGCTTTAGAGAGTTCTGTTGCAGGCGGGGGATGGCATGCTTCTGCCATATTTGGGGATATTGCAAGAGAGCAGAGAGGCACGTGTTGGCAATGATATTGATTATCTCGAAATAAAATGGGTAATGACGGGACTAACGTTAAGTTCTAGCGCACTCGATAGGCCATATATTAGGATCTTGAAATTTTGTGATGCTCCGAGAGATTTGTAGGGTTTGCATATTCTCGGTGCCTGAGGCACTAACTACTTAGCAGGTGGTAGTTCATACGATCTGAGTCTTGGTCTAGCCCATGGAGGCATAACGTGTCCACTGATTAGATCGGTCCAGTCTCAGAAAGGAGCAATATTTCCCCAAGTAGGATGTTGAAAGGTTGTGAAAGGGGATTTTGAGGAATTCGATCCTTTCGGGATATCCACAACATGACGTCAGCTTTGCTTACTGTTTTCTCCGGCGCCTAGGTACACTACTTGTGCAACCCTAACATCCATACCGAGGTCGTACTCAACATGCCATTCAGACAGGCCCTTCAGGGCATTATCGATAAGGCAGACAAGGCTTGGGCGGAACTAAGCCATCACGACAACCCTCAGCCAGCACCGTCGTACAACAATCCCCCACCGCCTATTCCGACCGCTAGCAAGCCCCCACTAGCTTATCAGGAACAGCACTCGCAACCCCAGATCTACTGGCAGCCCAATCTAAATCCTCAAGTACCGGTATCTGCCAACTTTGCCCACGAACAGGGCCAACATGGATGGGGCAACAATGAATCGCAGAATTATACCGACAGCCCGCATAACTCATTCCATTCAAGCCAGGGCGATGCGGTGATCGTGCGCGCTCTGATCAACCACGGGAATCCCGACCCTGCCCAGAAGTTTACCAGCGCCAGACTGTCGAGTCACCAGACCCTCAGCCGACCACGGGGCTGTCTATCGGCCAGGATTACGGCGCCGGTGGCCCGAGGTATCTGGCCTGCCTTTTGGCTGCTGCCTAAAGACCCCTTCAAGTGGCCTGAGGATGGCGAAGTCGACATAATGGAAGCGTGGAACGGCGATGCTGTCAACCACACTTGTCTGCATTGGGGCAACTTCAACGGCGAGGACTGGAATAAGCATCGCGTTCTCGAAACCCCCATCCCCAACATTAGCTCGCCGGTAGGGGTGAGGTACGATTTTATCTGGGATGAGGACGAAACAACGGGCAGCGGGCGCCTGGTCTGGTTGATCGATGGCACGCCCATCATGAGGGCCGAGAAGCCGCCTGGCACAAGGAAGATGAGTGAGTTCAGGATCCTCATCAACATCGCTGTTGGAGGAAATGTCTGTCAGGGAAACATGCCCAGCGATGGATACTACGACACAGTGGTTCGTGAGTTGGCCATGTGGGACGCGCCCCCTGGAGGTTGGAATGAATTTGACAGGGCTTGGGGATATTCCAAAGATGGCAATACCATGTAACGGAAGGAAGGAAAAAGGAAATTTACGCTGCAAAGTAAATCAACCATACCCACATCCCCTACTTTCTACAGGTGGTATCTCTGACTAGGCGAGTGAGATGAGTTGCCGCATAGTGATAGACCGAAATTAGTCGTTTAAACAAAATTCGAAGCGATGCATCTTGACTCGTTTTCTTTTGACCGGAGGGCCAGGTAACTATTGGGCTTACCTGCATGTCTAGTTGGTACATGCAACCAAGTTCATAGTCCGCCTAGCCATGTACCCAGTCAAGCAAGCCTCTCTCGCCATCACCTTGTCGGACGCTGTTTACCTCTTTACTTAGCGCAGGATCTATACCAGTCAGAGACCTTGTAGATCTAGCGGTCTTCTGGATGCTACACCAAGAATAATCTTAGCGTAGCCTGGCAGTTTGAGATGTATGGCTTATCCTTATGGAGCAAAACAAGAACTGGAAGATTACAAACTTGAGCGACTCTCCATCCTTGAAATTCTGATCTAAAGCTAGCAAAGCCCAGACATTGACATCCGTTTCATCGATGCAGAGCCACAGTTCATTCAGTCAATCTTGAAACAATTGAACGACCAAACCAGAAAACAGACACATTCATATCTTAAGTCACCTAACACCGTCAATCATTGCCCTGAATCATGTTCTGATAAGACTTAGTATACATAGCAATCAATAATCGATCAGACGTAATAGTACTGACCAGAACATAGACCCAGTAGTAGTAGTAAGTCACTTCTTCTTTTCCGTCTTTGTTGCCTCAACTTTCGCTGTTTTCAACCCAAGTTTCTCAGCACACCGGTCGCAGTACATTTTCGAACCTGAGTAGGCAGAACACTCTCTGTGCTTGGTACAGTTATTGCACGCCACAATTGCCATTTTGTCTGAATTCTGGGGCCATGCATTAAATCTAATGTATAACGAAGTCTTCAACGAAGGGCTATCTTACCTTGTAGATAGAGATGAAAGAACGTGTGTTCTGGGAATGTTTGTAGATTATCAAGTGCTTGAGTGAAAAAAATACAGGAATGATGGGAAATCGTAGTGACCTTATTATATTCCTAAACCTCATTGTCATTACATACTATAGACCCCAAGCGGGGTCTACTTTGCTCTGTTTGGATGGAAACTATACTGCGGGCCTTTACGAGGATGCCACCGGCATAATACTGAAGCACGAGGTGTAGCGGGTTACAAGGCGACTCTATCGGAGCCACTGTGATAATATGCTGGTTGGTGGAATAAGGCTAAATTTGTGACTTTCACCCGGGTGAAGATGTCCTTGCACTAGAAAGGAAGTCCCATCGGCATAATACTAGAGCACGAGGTGTGGTGAACTGCACAACGGCCCTATCGGAACCACTGTGACAATATCCAGTTGGTGGGATAAGATTATATGTGTAACTTTCACCCGGGTGAAGATGTTCCTGCACTAGAAAGGAAGCCCCACTGAAGTCGAAGCTGCCACTCATCACCCTCCGACTAGTCATGGCATCCGGTACTCTGCCTCACATGAGTTGGTATGGTATACTGATGGTAGTATCTTGTATACTATATTTATTCGAGTCTGATGTTTGATGGCTCTTGGTCTCAATTTCTGTGTTCTTTTCTGTCCCTATTATCAACGGAAATAGAAGTCCAAGGATTCCAGATAGAATCAAGTACATAGGTGTCTACAGAGTAGCAAACCCAAAGTCGATGGTGAACCCGTTATCATCGATGTCATTAGGGCCAGCATACTGCGTGTGGTCCCACTGCGGATAGCCAATTGTCGGCCCGCAGTGATCAGAACACTTCTGCGGCTGATCACGGGCGCAGGATGACTATTGGGGTCCAATTTGGGGTCACACGGGCTCTTCGGTTACGAGGCAGCTGGTAGGCGTGGTACTCCGGGTCGGAGGGGACAGTAATTATCTACCACGTGCCTCTGACCGCTAAATTATTTGAGAGAAGAAACATACGCAGAAGGACACACGGAAATAGACACAATACATATTCAACTGGTGACTATACTGCACATACTCTTTCTACCATTAATCACCATGTTTCTGAATGCTTTCCTACCATGCGAGGGCTCAGTGGCTCATTAACTTTCCATGGGGAATATCTGCTACGTACCAAAGGCCAGGATATGGCCTTCAGGTTGTGGCGCCGGATACTCCATACGTGGCAGCGGCTGGCCCAAACAAGGTATACTTCATCTACACCCAGTTCGACGCCGAGACTGCAAAACACGTACATCACCATAGACGAGGTTTTGGCTACGGCGGAATTGAAAATAGTGTGACTGACGAAAGGACATTCTTTTTTGACCCCTTCTATGCCAAGGTGCTAGTATTTGCAAAGGGAATGAACAGGCACAACCCGGGGCTCAAATTGTCTGAGCATGAGATGATCTGGACAATATACAACATATCACACTCACGGATTGATTCCTGTCAAGATTTATACCACGAAGGCTGTCGTCGACATACTAGGTGAGATGGACGCCAACTACTTCCCGTGAGTGCGCCCGAGCCTGAGAGCAGAATAACTCTCAGAACGGGGCTGACATTGATAAATTCCTGACTGGGATGTCTATAAGGTTAAGGCAAGTTCCTCCTGGGAGCCAACCTTAAGAATAAACAACATATCAAATGGAATTACCCCGTGATTGAACCTTGGAACCTTAGAGGCTCCTTCCACGGTTACCTCGGCAGGAACTAACCCAAGTTGGAAAGGTGGACGGGTAGGACGCTGACTAACAACTCCGGGCGGTGAACATGCAATTTGAACTCCACCGGAGTTTTGCCGCATGGACTCAGCGAAGCATTTGTTCCGTGCCGTCAGTGGCAGAGCGCCTCTTGAGCTTGACTGGACCCACGTCCCTTAAGTTACATCCCCCAACACCCCGGAATAGGGGCTCAGATCTTCCCCCTCATTATCTGGCGTCCGCTTTGCCCAACAGTCCAATGGTTGACCTGCATATCGATCACACCACCTGCATTCGGATAAATCCTGGTCTCTCTAGAACCTTTACCCCGGTTTCTGTCCATGTCCCCGCCCCCTAGCGTCAAAGCCATGCGGAGGTAGTTTAGCGCAAATTGGGGAATGTTTATTGCGATCCGAACGGAGCTTCTCATAAGATGCCTGCACCCCGCGGTTGGCTACGTTCATCAGTTTGCCGTCCCCGAATTACGCTTCGGTTTCTCCTCCTCGTCTTTATCTTGTTTCTTTCAGTTACAACTCTTTTGGGAATCAAAATGCATTTCAAGTCTTATGTGACAGCCGCCCTGTATGGGCTGCCTGCCTTGGCCAATGCTGCACCGTCGCCGTCTCAGGCTGTTCCCTCGCCTGCTAGTGACTCAAACTCCGATCACTTCAAAAGTTATACGATCAAGGCTGAGAATATCACTGCCAAGCTGATTCCGTATGGTGCGCGTCTCACCTCCTTGCTAGTTCCAGATCGCAACGGCAACGTCCAAGATGTGATCGTTGGCTACGATGACCCCAAGGAATACCTGCATGATAGTGAAACCAATCGCACGTTCTTCGGAGCGGTTGTCGGTCGCTATGCCAACCGTATCAAGAACGGTACCTTCACTATTGATGATAACACGTACCACGTTCCTGAGAATGAAAACGATGGTGTGGACACTCTCCATGGTGGCTTCACCGGATATGATATGCGCAACTGGACGGTCACTTCGCACAGCGATGCCTCTATCACCTTCACCTTGTTCGATCAAGGCTTTGAGAAGTTCCCAGGAGACGTCATTACCCATGCTACTTTCAGCGTGTCTACCGAGAAGACACCGGCCAACCCCAAGGGTCTTCCCCAGTTGACTTCAAAGCTGGTGGCTCTCTCTCTTACAGAGAAGACCCCCATCATGCTGTCTAACCACATATACTGGAACCTGAACGCGTTCAAAGAACCCAACGTGTTGAAGGATACCACCTTGCAGCTTCCCCTCTCGCAGCGATTCGTTGGTGGAGACAGCATCTTAATCCCGAACGGCACCATTCACGACGTTGAGAAAGCCTGCCAAGGAGCTCTAGACTTCACCAGTCCCAAACTCATTGGCAAGGACATCGAGAAGACCTACGACCTCTGTGGCGCCGGCTGCACAGGCTATGATACGTGCTTCCTCGTCGACCGGCCCTCAACATACGCGTCTAACTCGATCGCCACGGTCCTTAGTGCCTCATCCAGCTCCACTGGCATCAGCCTCGACGTCGCTACCAACCAGGCCGCGCTGCAGATCTACACCTGCAGTGGACAGAACGGTTCCATCGCCACTAAGAATTCGCAGGCGAAGCGCAACGAGGCTGATGGTGGTGACTCCGGTGCCACCCATGTTAACAAGTATGGATGCTTCGTTATCGAGACCGAGGATTGGATCGATGGTATCAATAACCCTGAGTGGGGTCGTATTCCCTACCAGATCTTTGGTCCTGATGATGGGCCCGCCGTTAACTGGGCTACCTACCAGTTTGGCACTATTTAGATTCATAGTACGGTGCGCAACCATACTTGCATTGGATCAATATCTATCTCTACGTGGACCCTACGCGTAGCGCTTATTTGGCATTCATTGCCTCAATCTGTGCGAATGAGAGCCACCTGTGGCCAATTCACAACCGAAAACAGACATAATAGAATTGAATTTGGCTATACATGCAAACTCCCTCAATGCGTGCAGCAGATAATAGACATCTAAAATTTCGACAAAAACTACCCCCATTACCACCACTCCCTTTTACAATCTCATCCTCCCAATAATTCAGATTGAAAGTAATCCGGTCCAGCATTCAACCGATGGGTGCGATTAAATGCCGAGATCCTCGTAAACACGGCGATCTTATTTGGGAAGCTTCATATAGAGAAACAGTAGGGAAATAACGGCTCGGAAATCCAATGGGGTATCTATTGTTTTTGAAAAATGTACATGGTTTCATGCCCAGCCTGCAAGCGTCCAACTCGACCGATCACCGCCAGATCTCAAGCCCGATCGACGATCAGGAACAGGATGGTCAATATCTCTTGTAGCTCCAGCGAGTCCGTGTTGTAAGAACTTCTCTCGTTCGATCTCTACCATCCCCCGGATCTTCAGACTGGTTGTCAGGCTTGCACCTGCCCATGGACCAAGAGATTCAACTTCGCGCAAGACTCCTTGGATAGGCACTGGGATGTCTTTGTTTTGTCGGCGGAGCTTTTGTTCCACGAAATCAATCTCAGGCACTTCTTTCGAGGGGTCGGCGGGTTCGTCATCGCTGGAAGGTGCTTCCACATTGCTCTTAGGAATCTCAGGTTGGTTGGATGCTTTCTGGGCCGAAAGTCTGAGCTCCTCCAATCTCTGTCGCTGTCGCTCTAGTGCTTTGCCTCGAATTGGACTCCATCCGTGACGATCGATCAAGAACGAGACTTCTTTAAGGACCCGCTGCCGTAGCCCAGGAATTCGAGAACCGCCGCCCACAAAGACAATACGGGACATGCAAGTTCCTCGTGCATCAGGGTACAGTGAGAGAAGGGTGTTGTAGACAAGCAAAGGCAAGGATTTTTCTTCGTCGTCCAATTCATGTTCTGCGACACCTGGTGCGAATAACACCTTCTCGGTAGGTTCAGCGAGACGTGAAAACGGCACGTCCATATATTCTTCCTCGGGATTTGCGGGCGAAGGAATCGACAATTTCAGGCCGGGTTCATCTAAGTTTTCATCTTCTTCTGCCTGCGATTTGCACCAGGCAAACCGACTAACAACTTCCTCACAGTACGCGAATCCAACAGAGATCTTATCCACAGTCTCCGTACCCTGGTTTCCGGAAGCAAACCCGGTAAGAAGAAGCCCCATTTCCTGCATCAAATGCTTCATAGACCGTGTCGTTCTCTTCGTAGTCATCTCGCGGTATTCGTAGATCGCCGTTGCCGTAGTTTCGGCCCAGCCAAGGTCAACCACCAAAGCCGACCGCAATCCCGCAGCCGTGGCCGACATGGTCGCACTAGACAGAAGGGTAGCACTCGGGAAGCGCCATCGACTAAAGAGCGTCGACAGCAATGACGACAGCAATGGGTGTGGCATGAGAGACGGCAGGACAAGAACCAGGCGAGATGTCCCTGCATCCGTCAACAGGAACTGATTGTATGTCTCCCGAAACGCGCGCTCGATCTTATCCTCAACCAGGCCCAAATCAATTTCTCGAGAATCTGGCCGCCACAATTCATATGTCCGTGTCCACTCTTCTATGTCGACGGGCTGCGCTAGCCGTCCAGCACCGCTGCTGCCCTGAATCCATCCTCGGTAGTCCCCCGCTCTCCGCGAGTCTTCAGGTCCAAAGCCAACCACACACACAGGTGCGCTGCTTCCTTCAAAGCCTGCGCGGAGCCATCGTGCGCCTATCTCAAATATGATCGCATCGTCTTCGCTTCGAAAGGTGGAACCCGGTGATGTGCTGCTGGCGAAGGAGGGGTTTCCCGAATGTGGTTGTGGTGTATGAGGGGAAACAGGTCTCGCTGTCTGGATATTCCGCAGACCAGAAGTTGCTGATGTGCGTTTACTGGCACCCATTGAGGGTGTATCACTCGACATGCTTGGATGAGCTTGGGCGCGTTGCTCCCCTTTCTGGGAGCAACAGGAGTTCGTAGGGTTCGTAGCGACAAATATTCGATTCACCTGCGCACAGGTCGAGGTTTCAATGCCATCGGTTTAAATTCAAAGACAAAGTAAAAATAAGATCTATAAGCTGGCCCAAATGGTTGGGGGAAGCTCGTTGGTAGGCAACGGATCTACATCGGGCCGTCTTTATTTACTTCACAACTTCCTCTCTCCGCAAAACCACTGCATATTGTACATCTTCTAACACCACATGGGCACTTGAACTGCTTCCCATTTCTATTGCTTACAGTCGGCATGGGTATTCCTGGGTAAGTTAAGTCATATATCCTATTTTATTTTACATGGTGGAAAACATATATATCGCTATGAGCACCGAGTGAAAGCGTTGTTTATCCATCGCATAAGAAGCCGGACTTCGTATCTCCAGATTCCTCAATCCAAATACTAACTTTTCAAGGCTCATCAATGCAATTGGCCCAGGAGAGCGTATCTCTCTGGCGAAGTTGGCAGTGACGCACCTCGAGCGGACAGCAAGACCGATTCGCATTGCAGTCGACATTTCGATCTGGCTCTTTCAAGTTCAAGCGGGTAGAGGCGGAAGAAACCCAGAGCTACGCACACTATTTTATCGATTATTGAAGTTACTTGCATTGCCAGTCCACCCCCTTTTTGTCTATGATGGACGGCAAAAACCTGCTTTTAAGAGAGGCAAAGCAGTCTCATCTCGCAGTTATGGCAGTGCGCCGATCATCAAGCGTTCCAAGGACCTCATCGAACGATTCAGGTTTCCGTGGCATGAGGCACCCGGCGAGGCAGAGGCCGAATGTGCACGGTTACAGCAGGCAGGTATTGTAGACGCTGTCATGAGCAACGATGTCGACGCATTGATGTTCGGATCGTCTTTAACTATTATGAACTTCTCAAAAGAGAGCGGAAGCGGCAGCTCTTCAGCAACTCATGTTACATGCTATGCAATGGGACAGGATGGACATCCATCCAATATACCCCTTGACCGACCGGGAATGATCCTATTCGCTATGCTCAGTGGAGGGGACTATTTACCATCTGGTGTTCCGAAATGCGGCAGCAAGCTCGCTGCAGAGATTGCCAAGGCTGGATTTGGCGAGGATCTTCTGCAGGAGCTTGCGTCGCAAGCAGACGTGGATGCAGGGTTGAACGAGTGGAGAGAAAGACTCCAATATGAACTTGAGGAGAATGAGAGTGGATACTTTACGAGGAAACACCCAGCAGTTCGAATTCCAGACGCTTTTCCGGACCGACAAATTCTCGAGTACTACGCCCAGCCCAAAGTTTCCGGTGATGAAGAGATGGCACTTCTGAAAACCCGTCTCGTACAGGCTTGGGACAAAGATATCGACCCCCTAGCAATCCGAACATTTGCCGCAGACCATTTTGAATGGAATTATCGATCGGGGGCAAGGAAATTGATCAGACTGTTGGCTGAGCCTCTTGTCTCATACAGACTCCGTCTCCAGAGACCAGTTCTAGGCGTGTCGCCTGGTTTCTCATTTGTGCCCGATTGCCCACCTGGTCTGCAAAAGGTGTATCGAACCCGATCAAGTTTCGGCACTGATGCAGTGCCAGAACTTCAGCTAGATATGCTACCGGCAGATATTGTTGGGCTGGATCTCCTTGCCGAGGAACCAAACCCGCCGTCCGAAGTTAGTGTACAGGAAGCTGAGGAAGAGGATGACCCAGAGGTAGTTGCTGGATCACCACCTCCGGCACCGTCGAAGACTCGGATTACAAAACAATTTGATCCGTTCTCCCTCGAGAAGGTCTGGATATTCGAGACTGTCGTAAGACTGGGTGTTCCTGAGGTCGTCAAAAATTGGGAGAGGGAACAGGCTGAAAAAGCCGCGAAAGCCGAAGAAGCTGCGGCGAAAAAGAAGACCGGTACTCGGCGCACCGGTCCCAAGAAAAAGGGACCAATTGATGCTGGAATGAAACGGGGGAGTATCCTGAAATACGGAACTCTCACGAAAGAAAGGTCCGAACTGTCAACAACTAAACAAACACACTTGTTGAAAGCCGCTACATCGGCTCAGAATCCTCTTTCCCGACTTGTGGCCAATTCTGGGTCTTCTTCGCCAACAATTGTGGACCAGGAAGACGATATATTTTCCTCTCCGAGCATGTATATTCCGCAGAGGTCTTCACTGACGATGCACTACGTTTCTCGGGAAGTCGATGGTCTCCTTGATACATTCTCTTCAATGTGTAACCTGTCTCCTTCTGCCAATATCAAGCGTCACCCCATATCGGACCAGTCTCGCATTAGATCAAGGCGCACAGCTTTGGGAACTGGTCAGGTTGATATTGAAGAATCTGACGCACTAGACATGAACACCGATTATTCTCCGTCTCGCCCGACACGACGCATGGGACTCAAAATTAGCTACTCGGTCTCCGACGTTTGTGAATCTGAAACTTTCACGGAGGACTTCCCAGCCAGAGCACTCTTGGAACTGCCTTCTCTGTCCGGGAAGACTTTATCTAAGACCAAGAAGATTCCCAAGGTGCAGTGTGAAGAAAAGGCCAGGGTTGAACACATCGAAAAAGCCATCGAGTCCCTTTCTCTGTCATCGAAAATCGACGAGGAAAACACCGCAACTCGCTCGTTGCGTCAACCGCCAACGAAGAAGGCACCACAAGCACCAAAAGTTCGGACTCGTTCCTCTGAAGTCGAAGATATCAGACCACCCCGATCTTGCAGCCAAGCAAATCCCAAGCCCGAACTCGAGCCCGAACATACATTACCATTGAACTTGAAGACATACGAAAACAATGAGATTAATGAGGTAAATTGGTCTCCTAAGAAGTCTTCAAAGGGGACGAGCACAACGCCGAAGCATAAGACCATAGGGCACTTGGAAAACATTATATTGCACGACGGCTTTTGGTCGATCGACCCGTCTCCGCATGAACAAGATCCATGCGAAGGCTCAGCTACCGATAGCCTGAGCACAGCGCGCAGACAGACTCAGCCTGCCAAAAAGAAAAGAATCCCACGCGTCAGTTTTCTTGACCTCGTTTGATTAATATCTTTCTTATACCCTTCTTCTCGTTTTGGCGGATTGGCGATGGCATCAATTTGAATTTTCCCGGGTCTGGAGCTTTTGCATACAACAATGTGGAGCAACCGCATTTTTTTGTTAACCTACGGCGTTGGATAAACATGCCGAGTACCTCTATCAAGACTCAGGAAAGCTGACTTCTCGAGGATGGATTGCTGGATGCCATGTACATATGTCGCAGAAATTGTAAATAAGAATACCCTATGCATATATCCGAAAACGTACCAAAGCCATGTCCCAGAAAGTAGCTATGCAGAACACACATCCAAAGAATAGAAACGGAAAAGAAGAGGAGTATCAAAATGTGCATGGCTTCCACCAGTGTCTATCTAAACAAGAATAGAATTCTTGATGCAGCACAATACCAGAACGTAGAGGAGCAAAAGAGAAAAATGCCCGAATACTAACCGTCAAGCACCCAGATATAGCATTAAAAAAAGAGCAGGGAATATTGTGCAAGCGCTGAGAAATAATCAGGAGTGTATCATTTATCCATCTACCCAAAGACCTTAAGGAAACCCCAGAGGCCAACTCCACTCAACACAGGGATCGTCAGGTTATCATCCCAGCCCCAAATGTCAATGAACTCGCTGCCAGCGGCAACGACGCCAGAGACGAAACTCATGACGCCTAGAGACAAAGGGCCAGTGATGACCGCCGAATCACTAGGCTCCCAACCCAGAAGGCCGCGAACGCAGTTCGGGAGCAGATTCAAGCGTCCCGTGAACATAAAAGCGTCTTCTGGGTCATTGGGGAAAGCGCCAATGTAAGGCACGAACCAGCCCCAGAAAGCAGCGGCGGTGACAACACCCACCAACCAGGCTGCCATAGTACCAGCCAAGCTCTTTCCGGGACGCAGACGGGGGGTGTAGCGGCCGTACAAACGACCGAATGTCGAGGCGGCGGTGTCACACCAGCTAAGGAGTAGCACGCTCATGACGCCGACATCCTTGGGGAAGAAGCGGAGAGCGACGTACGCTCCGAGGAGATACCAGATCACGCCGTTGTAGCCGGTGACCTCGGTTTCGCGCATGAGCGCACCCATAAACCGAATATATACCTTGTTGACCCTCTCGAAGCGATGGCGGATCAGGTCTGTTGCGGCAATAGGCACCAGTACGGTAAAGAGCACTGGTGTAATCTGCAGCGTTTGGACGCCTTGGCTGTATAACGACAGAGTCAAGAACCCGATTGACACGTGCAAGAGCTTGCGCGGGATTTCATGGCGATGAATGAAACTGCGGTAGCGTGCATGCAGGGGGATCAGTCCGAGAGGAGATGGTGATCTTGACAAGTCGCGCAGCGCGTCGGTAATGCTTGGTGGGGATAGATGGGTGTTCGAGTCGGTACCCTTTTCCGAGCGCGGCGGCGAAGCGGGTATCATGGGGTGTGATCGGCGGTTGCGCCGAGCCGAGGGAGATCTTGATTCTCGCGCTGAGCCAGAACTTTCGGCTGAACCATCTGGCTCACGCTGGCGACGGGCTGCAGACCTTGTCATCGGTGCGATGTATCCGTCGGGTGTCTCTGACCGGTCCGATCTGGAGGGGGTCGGTGACAGCACGCGAGGTGCCTCTGGTACGGGTTGTGACCAGGACATGTCGGGCGCCTTTAATTTCAAAGAAGGAATCGGTACGACTCGAAGGACACCAGAAGGTGGGCGTACAGATATCTGCGTTGTCGCAAACGAATGAGCCACGAAAATATCAATGGGCTTGCTAACAAAGCAATGATAGGCGGTTCGATGGCACGTGACGAATCTTTATTGTTACTTATGGACGAATAAGCTGGAGACACAAGGCAGGATTCCAGTACATGATGCGATCACCAAGCACTTGTTATACCATGTAAAAGTAAAGTAAACGAAGCAAGGCTAAGTCGAGAGAAAAACAGATTCACGATCTCGGTTTCCGACCACAGCCGTGGTCACGTGTCTGGTATCTAATCGATAACGGATATTTTTTTTTCTTTGCGATGGCGGCTCGTGAAGCAATTTGACGACTCGGTGTCTCTTGAGATTAATAAATGCCTCCCAAGTCATCTTCAAGAGCGTGGGATGCTCTCACGCCCCCGCTGTCAGAATGCTCCCTCGACGCTGTGGCCTCAATGGGCTTCACGCGCATGACTCCAGTCCAAGCCTCGGCCATTCCTCTGTTTATGCAGCACAAAGATGTGGTGGTAGAAGCTGTCACTGGAAGTGGAAAGACACTGTCATTCTTGATCCCAATTCTGGAAAAGCTTCTTCGCCTTGATCAGCCTCTCAAGAAGCATCATGTTGGAGCCATTGTCATTTCTCCTACAAGGTGGGTAATGCGCAAGTCCAGGTCTGCAGAGCTCGTTGCTAATATCGGTATATCAGAGAATTGGCCTCACAGATTCACCAAGTTCTTCTCTCCCTTTTGGAGTTCCACCCAGCGTCGGCCGCAGCCTTAAAACCCGCCGAAGATGGTGCTCCTCGTGCGAAGACCTCTTCCTCGACATTGAAGGTCGTCCCACAACTTCTTCTGGGCGGCGGGACATCTCCGGCAGAAGATCTAAAGTTATTCCTTAAAAATTCGCCCAACGTATTAGTCTCTACACCCGGACGCTTGTTGGAGTTACTTTCGTCGCCTCACGTTCACTGCCCTCAGGCATCTTTCGAAATGCTTGTCCTGGACGAGGCCGATAGACTTCTAGATCTTGGGTTCAAGGACGACCTACAGAAGATCTTAGGCCGGCTACCCAAGCAGCGACGTACAGGATTGTTCAGTGCCAGTATCAGTGAGGCTGTTGATCAGATCGTCCGACTTGGTCTACGAAATCCCGTCAAAATTGCCGTCAAGGTCAGAGGAGCTGGCGTCGAAGAAAAGCGCACTCCAGCGAGGTATGTCCTTTGAATTTTTCCCCCATTCAGAAATGACCGATCTAACCATTGAACAGTCTGCAAATGACCTACTTGACAACACCTCCGCTTCACAAATATGCTATTCTGAAGCACATCCTTTCCAATGTCCAGCCCACACCTCAAAAAACCATTTTCTTCGTGTCAACATGCTCCAGTGTCGACTACCTCGCCACAATACTACCCATAATCCTAGGAGACGAATATGTGCTAGTCCCACTACACGGGAAACACCAAGCCAACGTCCGCCAAAAGAACTTCAACCGCTTCATTACCTCCACAACGCCCTCCATCCTCCTCACTACCGATGTCGCCGCTCGCGGTCTAGACATTCCCTCCGTCGATCTAGTAGTCCAGATCGACCCACCCTCCGACCCCAAAACATTCATTCACAGATGCGGTCGTGCCGGCCGTGCGGGCCGCCGAGGCCTCAGCATCGTCCTCATCCACCCAGGTCGCGAGGAGGACTACGTCTCGTTCCTGGAAATCCGCAAAACGCCCGTGGCGCCATACAACCTACCCGAGTTCACGGACGAACAGGCCACAGCCGCGACAGACAAGGTCCGCAAAGCGGTGTTAAAAGATCGCGCTATGCACGACAAGGGCCAGAAGGCGTTCGTCAGCTGGCTGCGCAGCTACAGCAAACACCAAGCAAGCAGTATCTTCCGAGTTGCAGATCTGGACTGGGAAGCTCTCGGAAAGGCATGGGGACTCCTCAAGCTGCCGAAGATGCCCGAAGCCCGCTCCTTTGAAGGAGATCGGACGCTAGGCATTAAACTTGATTGGTCCAACTACACGTACAAGGACAAGCAGCAAGAAAAGCGCCGCAAAGAGGCTATGGCGGAGGCTGCTAATGGACAAGGCACTGAGCAGGGTCCTAACAAGCGCCGTGCTACGGAGAGTGTGGCTTGGAGTCAGAAGACTGAAGAACGGGATAAAAAGTTCAAGAAGAGGGAGTTCAACAAGGCGCGGAAGGAGAAGGAGAGATGGGAGCAATTGCCAGAGGATCAAAAGCAGAAGGCTCTTGAAACGGAGCGCATGCTGGAGGAGATTCGTGCTAAGAACGAGCAACAGCGGTTGTTGGACCAAGCTAGCAAGGCGGAGGAAGCCAATGGCGATAGTGAGTTCAAGGGCTTTGACTAGGTTAGAAAATAGCATAATAGATATCTATATCAATACCATATCCTGGGTTTAATTTCTCGGTGTCACTCTAGACGAGCCTAGTCTTTACAATCTGTTGACTTGTATGGGAAGCTAAGCAATCCTTTCAAATGCTCCTTAACAACGCTAATATTCACTCATTACATGCGCTAAATAGCAAGAAGAACAAAGCGCAAAACGCAAAAGACGAAAAAGACAAAGACGTAGACTCGTAGGCCCATGCATCCAAGGCGGTCCAACGAGTCACAACGCCGAAAGAATGTATACAGGATTTCCTCCAAGGCTCGACCCAAGCCCAGTTCAGAGCTCCAAGGCGGGCCAGCAAAAACCGGCACCAGCCTGGTTCCATCAGAGACCCAAGGCGGGCCAAGGGAGCCCTAGCCCCAGCCTAGAAAGGCGGGCCAGGGAACCCGGAGGACTTCCATCTTTTTCTTTCGTTGTTTTCAATTTTTTCAATTTTTTTGATAAGTAGCAGGCCGAGAAGCTTGCTCTTCGGAATCTCGTAGTTGTATTTCGTTCCCTAGGGGGGAACCGGGTGCTCAATGGAGATGCGACCTCCAGGTATTTCTGAAGGTTCCCTCTCTGGCAAGTCTTTTTTTTTGTTAGATTTACTAAGCTGCACGCCGAGCAGCAAGAAGGTCAGCAAACTCCTTGTGACAAGCATCAAAATGTGCCTCCTCAGTGGGAAACAGATCAGTGCGGACGAAAGATCCTCTCTGATATTTCTCAAAGTTAGGATCGTCCCAGTTAAAGGTCTCAATCCAAGTTTCAGTCTCGGGCCACTCGATCTGGCTTAGATCGCCAGTGGGGCATGCCGTAGCCATTGAGGTTTCTCTCATCTTGCGACGTTGGACGGTTTCCACCTCAATAGACGAGTTACAGCTACTCGAGAAGCGATGGGCCGCGCGAAGACGACTGGGGGTCTTCGGCTTGTACTGCTCTGCGGTCTGACGAGCCTCTGCGATCTGACGGGCCTTGCGGAGTTCCTCGGCGGAATACTCAATGGGCTCCGACGTGACCTGGTCGTTGGAGCTTTCCAGCTGGATATTGTCAGAGACATGCTCCTCTTCCGGTGCATTGCTGACTGTAGCCTGTTGAGTCGGGGTATCTTGGCGGACACGATTGGAGACATCCTCCTCTTCCGGCGCATCGATAACTGTAGCCTGTTGAGTCGGGGTATCTTGGCGGACACGATTGGAGACATCCTCCTCTTCCGGCGCATCGCTGACTGTAGCCTGTCGAGTTGGGGGATCTTGGCGCAAACGTTTGGAGACATGCTCCTCTTCCGGTGCATCGCTGACTGTAGCGTGTTTGGTCGGGGTACCTTGGAGTTCCTGCTCGCCTGTGGGCAAGTCGTCGTCGTAATCATCGTCATCGTAGATGAAGTAATCTGGGTCAAACCCGTAGCTACATCCTGGAGGGTGTGGAATGACATCGGGTGACGTTTCTCGCTTGCGCTTTTTCGATTCGTTATCGTAAAGCGCACGAACTTGCTCGATTGAAGTTACAGGTTCGAGGTCCGCAGGATCCGACATCCCGGCGCGCATGCGCGCGAGCAGTTCTGGGTCGAACCCTTGTGGGTCCAAATCGTAGGAGTACTTCTTTCTTGTGCCGACTTGTGGAGCGCGTGCCCTGGCTGTCAGACGAGAGTTTGCGGTTTGTGGCTCTGTAACGCGCGAGCTTGGAGTGGGCGATTCGAAATTTCGTGACGCCACAACAGAGGAAGAAGGGGGGGCTGAGGAAGGTGTCGCGACGGAGTCATTGCCCGTTGGATGTTCAGGTTCGACCACTAGAATCACCATGTTAGCCACTATAAATATATGCCATGATATGAGGGGCGCCTACCTTGTGGGACCTCTGCAGTTTGAGGCGCATTGCCTCGTCCCCAAATACCAGTCACTGAATTGAATATCCATTGGCGCCAATTAGGTCTGTTCTGATTTTGGTTCTGATTCGGTGGGAGTGCAGAAGGCAATGAGGATAGCGGGACAATGCGATTACCCTGAGGTGCGGTCTCTTCGCTTGCCTGAGAGGCCACGGGGGTCAAACTGCCAGACCTCGCATCCTCTCCCTGCTGAGCCAGGAGTTGGGGGAAACGGTAAATGGTGCGATCGATTCGTCCTCCCCTTTCCGCTTCGCGTCGTCGCGCGCGATCCGCATATGTTCTGCGAGAGCTGCCGCGAGGACGGTTTTCGAAGCCAGGTGGGGTTTGGAGGGTCAACTTGTGACGTTTCGAAGGCGAAAGATCATCTTCGGATGATCGGTTCCGTTTCCTAGTGGGTTCTTCCGTGGGGGTCAGCTGGGATTCATCCGGGGCATTGACGCCAGGAAATCTGCGAGGAAAGTTCCTCCAGGGGGATGGTGGGGTCCAGGGAAGTGACCAGGGGATTCGGCCAAGTCTATCATAAACTTGGCCAGGCGGCCAGGCATACTCCATCACGGGCGTTTGCGGAGGGGAAGGGGCTCGCTCAGGCTCTCTTTGGAGGAGTGCGCTGGCTCTCCCATACCGAAAGGCCGACATGACTCGTTCTCTGAACTTGCGCTGGGGAGGAGCCTGG